CATCCTTTTCTGGATCATAGGCGAAGTCAATCTATTTCAAGGTTCACTCTATTGTGAGAACACTGGGACATAAATAGGAACTGAATGGATCTCTATACATTTTCTGTTTCTTAGTCTGTGATACTAGGTACCTAGATGAAAACTCCAACCCTCTTCTCCTCGTTCCTCACTGGGATACTGGGGAGAACCTGGTGAACAGGTTCTGCCTCCCTAGGAGGAGGGAATAGGGGCTTTGAGGCCTCACAGCTCCATGAAAATGAAACAAGGAGGAAAAGCCAGAGAAACAAATTAGATAACTTAGTAAATTGTAAAGATTTTCTATTTTTGTATTGAAAAGGAAAAGTATTGTGTTAAGAAAAGTTTATATCCTTCATGCCTTGGTTAAAAGATAGCAATCAACATTATTAAAATGCTAAAATGCTGGGCCCAGTGGCTCAGCCTGTAATCCCAGCACTTTGGGAGGCTGAGGTGAGAGGAATACCTGAGCTCAGGGGCTTGAGACCAGCCTGGGCAACTCAGTGAGACCTCGTCTCTACAATAAATCAAAAAATTTGCCAGGCGTGGTAGCATGCACCTGTAGTTCCAGCTACTTGGAAGGCTGAGGCAGAAGGATTACCTAAGTCCAGCAGATCGAGGCTGTGATGGCCGTGAGTGTGCCACTGCACTCCAGCCTGGACAACAGAGTGAGATTTCAACTCAAAAAAAAAAAAGCTAAAAAGTAACTAAGTTTAAAATATTGGCTATCAAACTCCAGTTGTATTAGGTTAATATATTTAAGTCTCATACTAATGGCCTAAGAGGAGAAGTGCTTCCTGGAACTTTTTTTTTTTAAATGATAAATAGGGAGGACAAAGAACCGCCAACCAGCCTACAGATAATAGATGTTCTTGAAAGTGAGCCCAGAACAAATGGATCAATAAGACTTAATGGGGCTGTAAAAAGAACCAGGTATAAATACTAAAAGGGCTCAGTATGCCAGGCAAGATGAATGAAAATAATACTATATGAAATCACTCCTGGCAAAAATAACTAAATATAAAACTATAGGGATAATGGTGGACTATCATTAGTGTCCACACACTAGTGAAGAAACAGAATTCTAGCTGGACTTAGGCTTCAGATATGTAGAACAAGAAGCCCAAAGACAGTCGAACAAAGTTTAAATCAATTTTGAAGGTGAGAAATTATAATAAAATATATATGATAGCAAAATATGTTGTTAATCTATAAAAGCTATGGAAGACTTTCTGAGATATGCTAAGACTCAGAAAACATGCCACCCTGCACCCTTCTTTTGATTAAAAGAAATTTAGAAACTTCAGTTAACTGAAAGATGGACCAAAAGGAAAGTGTGGAGAAGTCATGGCAAGAAAAGACCAGTAAGGCAATTTAAACAGTGAAAACAGAAATATATTAATATTGTTTCTATAAATATGGGTTATCATGTAACACAAATGTCCACTTTTTGCTTTTTAATGATGGTATATGACATATGACATGACAAATAGTTTACATGATAAAAAACAAATAATGACATATAATTGAGTAGAATAAAAATAATTATATGCATTAATAGCTAAAAACTTAGTAATAGTAATGCATGCCCACATTATAAGACAGTGAAAAGACATAAACTAGGGAGCTAAGGGGTATAAAAATAATAAACACATTGCTTTAAATATGTAGTACATTAAAGATATTTTATTTTTGGCTTTGACATTAAAAATAAGTTAAAATGCATTTGGAAAAATTATGAGTAAATATTAGTAAAAAATGCATTTGGAAAAATTATGAGTTAATACTGTTACAATGCCTTCCAAAATAGAAGGAAAAATGAAATTTAAAAATAACATGAAAATGCTAAAAAAGAGAAATAACAAAATAATATAACAGAAATAAGGCCAACCACATTAATTTTAACAGCAAATGCAATAGATGACTTCTTAGAAAAATGTAAAAGTAGAATTGACTAAAAGAAAATAGAATATCTAAATAACCTAATAATAACCATTTTAAAAAACAACAACAGAGAATGTGGTCATTATTGTCTTCCCAAAAAACTCTGGGTAATATAATTTTGAGTTGGCTAATCTAAAATACTATAAACTATTCCAGAACATACTAAAAGGTAGAAAGTTTTACAAGTCACCATACCAAGCTAGGAGAACCTTAAATCTGACTAAATACATTTAATATGCAATACAGTATAAAAAACTATAGACCAATCTTATTTACAAATATACATGCAGAATCCTAAAAAATACTCTCTACAATGGCATAGGAAATATATAACAGAAACAAAAATAAGTTGTACACAACTTCAGAATTCAACTTTTTTGGTTTTGACATTAAAAATGAATTAAAGTGCATTTGCAAAAATTATAAGTAAATATAGGTATGAGTATAGTAATTCTGTAACTATTGTTGTTGTACTTTGAGATTGATTGAGCAAGTAAGTAAACACACTGTGGGAAAGAAGAGACTCCAATCTAGAATGGAGGAAGACAAGGAAGAAGGTTGTGGTGCTGGATGGGAATTAGAGGTATATAATACATATACATCTTGTTAGTACATCCTTACCAAGGGAATTTTCCTGCCCTGGGATCAGGAGAATCTGGCAACATCTGCCAACTGGACTTCAGAATTGCTATAGACCGGTGACTGCTGTCTGTTTCTTATTTTACCCTATTTGAATGGAAGTGTCTATAACAGTTATTCTGTCCGTGTTTCATCACTGAATGCTGGGAATAGGGGAAAGTCAACTTGTCTTTCAGATCACCGTTCCCTAGCTCAAGAGAAGGTTCACCTAAGGAGCTACACCCAATGAACTGTACCCAAGGAATTTTATCAGATCTGAACCTGATTTAGATGATAAGGTCCTGGACTTACGCTGCCATGAGTGACACTTCCAGGGGAGGGGAGTGAGTGTTCTCTGCATATGGGAAGGATGTAAACTGCTTTGGCCAGAGGGTTGACTATGGGAGTAACAGTGTTTCTTCCCAAGAAATATTCTCCTTTGAAATGTGACTTTGCCATTCATCCTATCAAGAGGTAGAATCTACGCTGGGCATGGTGGTTCACACCTGCAATCCCAGCACTTTGAGAGGCTGAGGGAAAGGGATTGCTTGAGTCCAGGAATTTGAGATCAGCCTGGGCATCATAGTGAGACCTCATCTCTACAAAACATACAAAAGTTAGTCATGCATGGTGGCATGCACCTGTAGTCCCAGCTACTTTGGAGGTTGAGGTGGGAGGATCACTTCAATCCAGGAGTTCGAGTCTGCAGTGAACCATGATCATGCCACTGCATATACACAACCTAGGATTTGAGACAAGTCTGGGCAACAGAGTGAAACCTTGACTCAAAAACAAACAAACAAAAAACAACAAAAGTAGAATCTATTTTCCCCCTTTTTGGATCTGGCCCTGTGACTTGCTTTGACTGACAGAATGTGGCAGAAGTGACATTGTGGAGGCATGGATGGGGTTAGTCAACATCATGTGGAGCAAAGGTAAACACTCTTGTGGATGACACCTGAATTCTTGATCCACTGAATAGTGAGCAATACACTGGTTTTTCTTTAAAGCAAATAAGCTTTGGGGTCATTTATTACATAGGAATAGTCAGCTAATACACTACCAGAGAAATGGGGTCACTTCAGAGCAACTCAGGAGCCAACTTGAAGAGACTCACCACTAGAGATGGGTGATCTGGGCATCAATAAAGAAATTAACTGCAATGGCTTACAGCACACTAAATATATTTAAACCCATGAATTCAAGATACTTTAAAGAAAAAAAGTTTGTTCCCCTTTAGGGAACCAACTAATTTTGAATGCTGCTAAATGAAGCAAGAAAGCATTTATTCTTTCTTGTACAAACTGTATGTCAAGGTAACCAAATAATGGTGAAGAGAAATTATTTGAGGAAGAATTCTAATACATGTTAAAAAAAGAAAAGAAAAAAAATTCTGATTGGGCACGGCGGTGGCTCATGCCTATAATCCCAGCACTTTGGGAGGCAGAGGTGAGGGGATGGCCTGAGTCCAGGAGCTTGAGACCAGCTCGGGCAACTTGGTGAAACCTTGTTTCTACAATAAATAAAAAATATTACCCAGGCTTGGTGGCATGCTCCTGTGGTTCCAGCTAGTTGGAAGGCTGAGGTGAAAGGATCATCTGAGCCCAGAAGGTGAAGGGTTCAGTGGCCGTGAGAGTGACACTGCACTCCAGCCTGTGTGACAGAGTGAGACTCTAACTCAAAAAAAAAAAAAAAAGAAAATCTGAATATCACCAGTTTGCAACCCCTGATGACATCATGGACTTAGGTGATGAGCATCAGTGGCTGCTAAAACCTTGTGGTGATGTACTGGTCGGGCTGACAACACCTGCACCTGTTGCTGATCTTAACATCAAAAGAAATGATGCGGTCCCCCTGTGAAGTCTGCTTGCCAAAAACCACATTAAAAAAACCCCAAACCTGAGTTAAAACAAGCCTTTAGATTTACTTCCAGTTTACAAAAAAGTGTGACGAGAGAAAATTGCCATTAAGGAAATGCAACCAGAAAATTCTAGCACGTGAAACATTTTATAGGACAAAAGCCTCGGTGTTCTTCAATAAATACATAGCAAGTAAAGAAAATGGGCGATCTTATAGCTTAAAAGGGACTTAAGAGCAGATGAGGCAAGGGCAGCATGTGGAACTTGTTCGCATCCTGATTCAAATACATCAACTGTAAAAAGATGTATGAGACAATGGGGAGAATGTGAACTACGATGCAAGTATTATGGAAGTACTAATTTTTCTTAGTGTTCAATATTATCTTTTAAGGGCAAAAAAGAAACAATAAAGAAGGTGGAGGGTGAGATGATGCAATGAAGGGTCTGGGCTTGTGTCAAGAGGGCAACCAGTTACATCCCAGGCTCACTGGCGATCAGTGTACTGGCCCAGGATCATGTCAACTGGATCCTGAGGTTGGGGTGTCTGGGTGTTTCCAGAACAGGTCAAATAAGAGTCCGGAAACCGTTCTTATTGGCTTCATGAAAACCAAATACCTCTTTGAGATCCTTTTCAAATTCTGCCTCTAAGTCAAGTCCTACCTGACCAAAGTCAGAAGCCTGAAAGAGAAAAACGCAAACAGATGTCTAAGGATAAAGGATCAGAACCATCTCTCATTTTACTTATTTTATTTTTTTAAGGAGACCTAGCAGTCAGGCAGAATGGGGAGATGCTGCTACTAAAATATTAAAATAGATGAATCTCCACCTGGTTGTTAACTTGGACCTGACAGGTGATCTGGACTGAAGACTTGGTTTTGATCACAGCAAAACCTGAGCATGGTGCAAGATAGAATTTGTTTTAAAAAGGCATTTCTTGAGAGCCCACTCTTTGAAGGAAGGATGACTTTCTGTTCTACAAGGCTAAGGCTGTGCCAGGCATTGAGGGGCTCTCTGGGTCAACTCTTTCTCCCTCCAGCTCCATGAGTGGATACCAGTTTACAATTTATGGTTTGGCTTGGAGGAAGAGAAGGAGGCTGGTTTGAAATGGAAATCTTTCTTAGATACCTCTCAATAAATAGCTGTACAAGTGAGCATACAAGTCACAATAAACTCCGTAAACTAAAGTTAAAAATGCCTTAGACTGAAAGATAGCTCAATTAGCTGTCTCTAATAAATAAAGGAGAAACCAACACTGTATCAGAAGGCAGTTCTAGGCCGAACTCTGTGGCTCAGCCTGTAATCCCGCGCTTTGGGAGGCCGAGGTGAGTGAATTGCCTGAGCCTGCGGGTTCGAGACTCGCCTGGGCAACTTGGCGAAACCTCATATCTACAATAAAGCCAAAAATCAGCCGGGCGTGGTAGCACATGCCTGTAATTCCGCCTACTTGGAAGGCTGAGGCGGAAGGATCGCTGGAGCCCAGCAGGTTGAGGCTGCAGTGGCTGGGAGCGGCCACTCCAGTCTGGGCAACAGAGTGAGACTCCGACTCAAAAAAAAAAAAAAAAAAAAGAAGAAGGTAGTTCTAGATGTTTGGGTCTGCTAAGAAATTTACGTAAAAAAATTACATGGGCATCCAGGAAGTTTAATTGATTTCATTTTGTTTACTTAATGCATTGAGGTCCGTATTTCTGAGATAGAAAGATCAAAGCAAGCATGAGCTGCCGTCCTTCCTGTTTGAACAAGGAGGTGAGATGCAAACTACTGTTCTCAGAGGGAGTGAGCAGCCTATTTGGGACCTGAGGATGAATTTTTTTTTTAGCTACTGTTTTACAAGGGCCTCCTCCCCACCTCCCTGGCTGCCTTGCCACCCTCATTCCCCGCCTCCAGGAATGCCAAGGTGGTTTTCTTCTGTCATTCTTGCCTTGTTTGAGCTCTCCCCAGGGATAAGACTGGGTGCAACCTTGCAAAGTTCTTCTGTCCCAGAAATTAAGGGGAAGTAGAAAGGATGTGAAAAGAAAGCAGGAAATGTTCTTTACCTTGTAAAATGTTTTATGGTTGTGAAAGATAAGGCGCATGTCCCTCACAAACCATGCCACTGTATATACTTCCTTAATCAGCCTTTCCTTGATCAGGTCCAACCACATGGCTTCCTTAAAGGGCTCACCGTAATCCCAAATCTGGGGACAAAGTCACCAGAGGGGTGACATTAGCACAGCTGTCATCACCAGAATGGATCCAACTTAAATATTTCCCGGGTAATAATGATAAGAACATCTGACATCTCTATGCCAGCCATTGTTCTAAACACTAGATGAACTAAGTTCTAAGTCAAGTATTTGAACATATGGTCTCCACATTTATGGATACCATAAATAGTCATGTCCATTTCATAGATGAGGAAACTGAGGGATGGAGAGGTCAAGTAAGCCACTCAAGGTGTCTAAGCTAGAAAGTGGTAGAACTGGAACTGGAACCTACACAGTTTGGCATCTGTGCTCCTAATCCCTAGGCTATCTCTAAGAATGGCAGTTCTACTGAAGATGAAACTGAGATACACGGGAGGAGAAGGAGCGAGTACATGGTGGGCTGAAGTTTGAACCAGGTTGTCCCTCTCTTAGTGTACAGTTAAACCCCCTACTCTCCTGCTTCTTGCCTCCCCAGCAAACCACAGCACATGGAAGACTCAGACCCCACATTTCTTGAACCTATTTTATGTGACAGAACCATAAAATGTGACTTACATTATGTGGGATCTCCGCAAAAAAGGTGCTTTGTGGATGACAGTAGGCCCTCAAGAGGAGGAACTCACATTTCTATAAAATGTGAAGAGAACTTTAAAGTAAAATGCAGCTTGGAGACGGTTGAAGCAGACCTGCACCCAGACATGCACATGAACGACACAGTCAAGCCCAGTCAGCACTCCTACTGTGCTTACCAAGGCCCATGGGGTGTGTGGAATTTTGTTTGGGCTCTGTGTCTGAACATTGAATTGGCACCCCCTAAAGTGAGACACCGAGGGCTCCCCCTTGGTGCATTCCCCTGAACCTGTGCTTGTTCGTGCTTCTCGTGTGTGAGGGGAAGGGAGAAGGCTTGGACTTCGCATCTGACTCACTAATTGCTCCTCAGGCCGCATCTGCCTCTCCAGCACCTCAGATTCCTGATGACACTGTTGGCTTCCTGGAAACCCCTTCATCCTGCAGAAGGTGCAACTCCATGGGGTCCTAAGAGGTTGGACATGAGGTGAGCAGGGGGCAAGGCCCCTGGACATGGCCACTGTTCCTGTGACTGTCACTGCCCTCCTTCAGAAATGACCAATGAGCTTGGCCATGGGGGCGGAGGACATCTCCCAGAGAGTCTAAGACCCCACATGGGGTCTCTAGCCATTGGCAACCATCCCTTTAGTGGCAGGAACAGGCCAGCAGTCTGAGGAAGATGATGCCACTGTGGTGGGCTCTCCCTTCTCTGTCTGAGCTGCCGGGAGCACATGGAGCCCTGCCTGCCCAGTCTGAATATCAAAAGCTGGGCTATAACTCCCAGGGACCTTGGGCTTCCATCGGCCCGATGAGACCGTGGTGAAATGCTGGACCAGGTCATGCTTCCTACCTTTCTGGAATAGGCACAGAACATAAACAACTGGCTTTCCCCATCCCTGGCCCTCCTTAGACAGAAGTCCATGCTGTCCAAGGAACAACATCCGAGGAAAGGGCATCTCCCAGGGGCATTGGCTGTGTGGGGTCAAGTGGCTCAGTTGCAGTCTCAGGATCCAGAAAGGCCCAGAGTCACTGACAACAGACTGCTTTATGTCACATCCTCCTACACGATGCTCACAGGGTTTGCCCTTTCCACATAGAGACGAGAATGCAGAGGCAGAACCACTGCAGAGCACTGTATGCATGAGGCAGGGCTGCGTCCCACTCACCTCTCAGCTTCCACAGGTGGGATGTGACAGTCCTCATGGAAGACTCGTGGACAAGTACCGCAGTAGAGCAGCGGTCCCTCTCTACAGCACACCTCACATTCTTCTGAGTTTTTCCACTAGAAGAGTAGATAACATGGGCATCACTGGGATCAGGGAGATCCATGAATGCTGACACTGTGGGGCTCTAGAACACACTGATTTTGTGTGTACCAGAGTGGATATCCAAACCTAGTTTTTGGTGGGGGGAGCTGATCCTACCTTCCTGAGGGGAAACCCCAAGATCATTGGCACAGCAAGCAGAGGGTCTAGGTGATGACCACTGCCACCAGGGCCTTTCTTCTCTGGCCTTTGCTCGCTAACTGGCTCCGCTGTACCTTGGGTTGTATTACTGCCTGCTGGCAAGCCTGTGCTTTGAGCTGGGCTGCTGTATGCTGCATTTGCTGAGCCCTACCAAGTTCCTGACCAACGAAATAGATTTAACTGACTAAAGTCAGAAACGATGATAATTGGCATTTAGGCGCAGGAGTATGGGTGCTGTGGGGGTACCTTGCCTACATGCCCCATGGTCACAACACTTATGGCCCTAAAATGTTCCATAATGGCCATGGATACTACAAACCAGTGAATAATATCTTAAAACAATTAAAATGCAATGATCTTTGGCACTTACAATCAATCGCCTTTACAAAATGGAACTCCATAGACCTTCTCCCCTGTTGAAATAGTTAATACACTTTAGAATGAAGGAAAACAGGGCCCTCAGGGATGGAAACTCATTGTATAATATCTGTTTGGAGAAGGAGTGATCATCTCCACTGTTTCTCCATTTAACAGCCCAATTTGGTCTGTTGTTTATTTATTCATTTATTTATGTTTTTTGAGTTGGTGTCTCACTCTGTCACCCAGGTTGGAGTACAGTGGCACACTTACAGCCACTGCAGCCTCGACCTGCTAGGCTCAAGTGATCCTTCTGCCTCAGCCTTCCAAGTAACTGGAACTACAGGCGCACATTACCATGCCCGGCTAATTTTTTGATTTATTGTATATACGAGGTCTTGCCAAGTTGCCCAGGCTGGTCTCAAACACCTGGGCTCAGGCAATCCTCTTGCCTTGGCCTCCCAAAGTGCTGGGATTATAGGCGTGAGCCACCATGCCTGGCTAGGCTGTTTTTAAACTTGGAAATAATGAGCGGTGTCTCGTGGTAGATTACCAAACCCTGAATGCTATGACCCTACCCATGAAAGGTCCCTATGCCCAATACTATTATAATTACTGACCTCATCCACTTAGCAAATGGCAATTACTCTACAGGCATACATTTGGCTAATATGCTCTGTTTGGTGCCTATTTCAACAGCATCTCAGCTACAGATTGCCTTCACAACTGAAGGGACACAATACCTGGTCACCATGGGAAACCTCAACAGCTCTGTCACCACACACTATCTTTGCAGGCAGGATTTGAACTGCATCCAACTTTCTCCCGGGGCACAGCTATGACACACATCGATGACACCCAGCAGATTCTTCTGATACACTCATTCAGGACATTACTCACAAGGAGCTTTCCCAATATATGGTATACAGACCCATCACCACAGAAGATTTCTGGGCATTATCTGGTCTGTTGAGGAATGCTCCATCTGTGCCGCTGTCAATAAATAATCATTGGCCCTCTAAGTACCCACAATGTCACAGTAAGCCACCCAACATCTTTTTGGCCTTTAGTGTTCGGAAAGCAGCATATCCCTCACTTACAGGTTTTATTTAAGCCCATTTATGCTGTTACTTGCAAATAGGCCCACTTTGAATAGGGACCCCTCTAACAGAAGCCTCCAGAATCTGTCCAATAGCAATACAATAGACATTCCCATTCGTGCCCTCCAGAGATCCATTCACTACAGAGGCTTTAGCAACCACATCTCAAGCCTCCTGGAGTCTCTGGACCACTCCTAATGGCCACGGGCTTATTGTGCAAAAAAAGCCAAAACTCAAAAAACTGTTTTCCTCAGCCCCATACTATATGCCTCAGGGCAGCCCCTATTGGCTATATCCTGGGCTCTTCTGGAGAGACAGGCTCTCATTGGCCCTGAGTCCATGACTCTTTACACCAGCTGTCCATCATGCCTTGGGCCATGGAGGCAGCACCAGACAGGGTAAACACAAAACACATTTTTGGAGTACCAGCATCAGGTCTTTTTATTGTCCCCATATGCAGAGCTAGACACCAGTGGAGACTGGGCATGTTGCTGGGCAACAGTGATATATTGGATGATACGAATGAGAGCAAGGTTTGATTGATCCATTCTTACTCAGAACTAACCTTCATTCTTATTATTCCAAAGTGGCCCTGGGTAGAAAGGTTGTGTCAAGTGTACTCCTGGCTATCATGTGTTGATGTGTGGCATTATAAGAGTTAGAGGGTACTATAATGTTTGGGCTTTAAAGGTCTTTATTTTTTTTCTGGTTACAAAAGTAATAAATGGTCATTATGAAGATTCCAACTATACACAAATGTATAATACAGAAGGCAAATGTCCCTGAAATCTTGTCTCAGAATCATCACAGTTGATACTTTCAGATATTTCTTCAGTCATAGACCTAAGTATTCACATAAACAAAATGGGGTTCTTCCCATACACATTGCAACCAGCATAAACTTCCTGAAGTTCTCCTGACCTTGAAACCTTTTGGTGGTTTTTCACTGATTGACTATCAGATGAGTCCATAATTATGAATCCATGTGTTTAAAAAGATACCTATGTCAAAAATACCATTCTGTAGATATCTATTTTACAATACTGATGTGTCCTTCCCTAATCTTTTGCTATTAAGATGTTTCACTGAGCATCCCTGATTCCCACTGTATTTCAAATTGACATGGAAAAGATGATTTATATAATATAATAGATTGCATTGGGGGACCACTGCCTTAAACTATGAATGAATCCAGCCAAGGGTGAGGCCAGCCTCCAGGGCGAGATGTGAGAAACACCATTGTCTCTGCTAGAAGTTCATATCTTGTGGGAAGCCATGAGCAGAATTTATGTCTGGAGAAGCAAGTATCTAAGCAAGTAAAGAAGGCTGAACAGGAAAGTCAGTACAGCCAATGGATGACTGCCATTTTTACCTGCAGGGAGCCTCTGCAGACACAAAGCTCAGTTCAAACACATCAATTCATCCTGGTATGACTAATAATATGCATGTAGCAGTGAGCAGTACTTGGTGTGTGATCAAGTATGATCCTCTTGTCCTTTCACATACTGCTCTTGACTATTTCAATACTTTGCTTTTCATACTACAGTATTCTATTTCTGACACCTTTGTTTTATAGTCATTTAAACATCCAGATCTTTTTTTTTGAACACACGAACATCATCAGTTTTTGTCCTAATTTTTATTTTAAAGAGCCATTTTCTTCCCCATCCAAAATTAACCATGAAAATAATGGTAGCATTTACATGTAACAGTGTGCTAGAGAGCAGTCATTATGACGATGCCATGCCCCAATCTGAAGGTGACTCAGAGCTGGAAAACTCAGGGGCTCTCAGAGGAGCCTTCAGACATGGAAAGTCTGCAACATGGTGACTGAGAATGTAGAAAAATTCACCTGCTATTTACCTCTCTCTTGAGACTTATTCTTGGAAGACAGAGCAAAAATCCTTTCTGAAAGATAGAAAGAGTCAATGAATGAAGTTATTCTGGAGGCTCTTCTTTTGTAGATATCAAAGTTCCTACTTCCTAGTTAATATCTGTACCCGGACATCACATTGAATCTCAAACCCAAGAACAATTAGCTCCCTCCCCCAATCAGTTCTTTTAGATTTCACTTAATGATAAATCATTCTTTCCTTGTTACTCAAACTCAAGACCCAAGTTGTTTCCCAATCCCTTTCTGATCCATTCCTTTCCTCTTTCCATTTCTTCCTCTCTAGATAAAATCCTTAAGATTTCATTCTAGTGATAATTTTTTGAGTATTATCAGGAGCCTTTGTGTTGGTTCCTGGGATCACAAAGACCAGGGCCCTCTGCAGTTGTTCCCAGGACAGAAATAGTGTATGGTGGAAGTGTGGAGGAGAGACAGACCATGAACAGGATGGCTTGTAAATGCTTCAAAAAGGGGTCCAGATGAGCTAGATCTTGAATAGATGTTTATTAGGTAGAGGATGCAGAGAAGCAGTGACAGGCATCTATGTCTTCAGTTGGTTTCTTTCTAGCTTCTTAAATCTCTCCTGACCTCAAAACCCTTTGCTTGCATTTAATGCTCCCAAATTTTACTTGCATTTAAAGTTATCCACCAACTACTCCTATTTAACATAGTACTGAAATTTCTAGCCAGAGCAATCAGGAAGGAGAAAGAAATGAGAGGAATCCAAACAGGAAAAGAGGAAGTTGAATTATCCCTTTTCACAGATGATATGATTCTATACCTAAAAAGCCCTAGAGATTCTGCTGAAAACCTCCTAGTACTGATAAACGACTTTGGTAAAATCTCGAGATACAAAATTAGTGTACAAAAATCACTTGAATTTCTTTCTTTTTTATATTTTTTTGAGTCAGGGTCTCACTTTGTTGCTCAGGCTGGAGTACAATGGCACAATCACAGCTCTTTGCAGCCTTGACCTCCTGGGCTCAGGTGATCCTTCTGTCTCAGCCTCCTGTGTAGCTGGGACTACAGATACATGCCACTGTGCCCAGCTCATTTAAAAAAAGATTCTTTGTAGAGACCAGGTCTCACTATGTTGCCCAGGCTGGTCTCAAACTCCTGGGATCAAGCAACCCTGTCTCCTTAGCCTCTCAAAATGCTGAGATTACAGGTGTGAACCACTGTGCCTGGTATCAGTTGGAATTCTATACACCAACAACAAGCAGACTGAGAGCCAAATAAAAAACACAACCCCATGCATGACACACACACACACACACACACACACACACACACACACACACACCCCTCAGTGTTCATCCAGTCAAAAAGGTGAAAGATCTTTATAATGAGAACTACAAAGTATTGGTCAAAGAAATCAAAGATGACACAAATAAATAAAAAATATCCCATGCTCATGGATTAGAAGAATCAATTTCAGCAAGATGTTCATACTACCCAAAGCAATCTACAGATTCAATGCAATCCCTATCAAACGACCAGCAACATTTTTCACAGAACAAGAAAAGACAATACTTAAATTCACACAGAAGCAAATAAGAGCCTGAATAGCTAAGGAAGTACTCAGAAAAAAGAAGAAAGCTTGTGGCATCACACTCTCAGACTTCAAACTTTACTACAAAGCTACAGTAACCAAAACAACATGATAATGGTACAAAAATATACACACAGACCACTGAAACAGGATAGAGAACCTGGAAATAAAGCCACAGGCTTTCAACCAACTTGTCTTTGACAAAATGGACAAAACAAACATTGGGGAAAGGAAACCCTATTCAGTGAGTGGTTCTGGGAAAACTGACCAACCACTTGCTGAAGAATGAAACTGAATTCCTACCTATCACCACATACAAAAATTGACTCAGAATGGATCAAGTACTTAAATGCAAACTCCCAAACTATAAGAATCTTAGAAGAAAATCCAGGGTACATCTTCCTGGACACTGGCTCAGGCAATAAATTCATGGTCAAGTCCTCAAAAGAAAATGCAGCAAAAACTAAAATTGACAGGTGGGACTTTATCAAGCTAAAAAGCTTCTACATAGCAAAAGAAACCATCAAGAGAGTGAAGAGACAACCTACAGAGTGGGAGAAATATTTTCAAACTATGCATCCAACAAAGGCCTAATATCCAGGACCTATGAGGAACTCATATGAATTGACAGGAAAAAAAAAAACAACCACATTAAAAAGTGGGAAAAGGATATGAACAGGCACTTCTTAAAGGAAGACATATATGCAGCTGACAAACATGAAAAAATGCTCAGTTTCACTAATTATCAAAGAAATGCAAATCAAAATTACAATGAGGTACCATCTCATACCAGTCAGGATGACTATTATTAAAAATTAGAACAAAAAACAAAAAAAAACCCCAACCAAACAAACAATAACAACAACAACAACAAAAACAGGTGTTGGTGAGGCTGCAGAGAAAAGGAAATGCTTATACACTGTTGTTGGGAATGTAAGCTAGTTCAATCTTTGTGGAAAGCAGTTTGGAGATTTCTCAAATAACTAAAAATAGAGTTAACATTAGACCCAGCAATCCCACTTCTGGGAATATATCTGAAGGAGCACAAATTGCTCTACCAAAAAGACACTTGCACTTCTATGTTTATTGCAGCACTATTCACAACAGCAAAATCATGGAAACAATCCAGATGCCCGTCAAAGGTAGAGTGGATAAAGAAAATGCATGTATACTATGGAATACTATGCAGCCATAAAGAAGAACAAAATCATGTCCTTTGCAGCAACATGGATGAAGTTGGAGACCATCATTCTAAGTGAATTATCACAAAAGCAAAAAAACTAAATACTGCATGTTCTCACTCATAAGTGGGCACAAGACATTGGGCACACATGGGCACAAGGATGGGAGTGACAAAGCCTGGGCATTGCTAAAGGAGGGACAGAGGGGATACAAAACCACCTACTAGGTACCATGCCCACTACTGTGGGGAGAGGGCTCATCAGAAACCCAAACCTTACCTTCGCCTATACATGTGTAAAAAATCCTCACATATACCCCACAATTCTTTTTTTAAAATTTGTTTTAAAGATGTGGGGTACAATTCAGGGTTAGGGATTCAAATGTTGATTATGTAGGCACCCTTGTTGATGAGGTGTGCCCATCCCTCCCTAGCAGTTTCCCTCAACTGCCAATCCTACTCCCTCGCCCAATCCCACAATTCTAAATTTAAAAAATTAGTCTGACAGTTTCATACCAAAAATAAATAAATAAGAATAAAATAATGTTCTCCACCATTAGGACCAATCTGTGTTCCTAACTTTGCCACCCTTAATTGTTTTCTATGAATGTTTAGCTCTTTTTAAATCATGCTGTTGAATCCTAATGGGAACTCTTCACATTTATGCTGTTAAAATTCCAATCCTCCTTCAAGGATTTAAACCTACCACTTCCATTCACAATAGCAACAACAATGACAACAACAAAAAAATGAAATACCCCAGCATCTTCCTAACTAGAGAAGTGAAAGACTTTTACACTGAAGACTACAAAACACTACTCAAAGAAATCAAAGATGACACAAGCAAATGGAAAAATATTCCATGCTTATGGATGGAAGAATCAACATTGTTAAGATGTCCATCCTACCAAAGGCAATCTACAGATTCAACACAATACTCATTAAATTACCAATATCATTCTTCTCAGACTGGAAATGACAATATGGAAATTCATATGGAAACATAAATGACCACAAATAACCAAAACAATCTGTAGCAAAAGAAACAAAGCAGGAGGTATCACACTTCTAGACTTCAAACATTACTATATGGCTATAATAATCAAAACAGCCTGGTATTGGTACAAGAACAGGCATATAGACCAATGGAACAGGATAGAGATTCCAGAAGCAAAACCTCAATTTCTCAACCAACTCATCTTCGACAAAGCCTCTACTAACAACCACTGTGGAGAGGAGAACTTATTCAGTAAATGGTGCTGGGAAAACTGGCTGACCACATGCAGAAGATAAAAACAAGACCCCTACCTATCACCATACACAAAAATCAACTAAAAATGAATCAAAGACCTAAATGTAAAATCTCAAACTATAAGCATTTTAGAATATGCAGGAGATACCCTTATGGAAATTGGAACTGGCAACCAATTTCTTATCAAAACTCCAAATGTCCATGCCATAAGAGATAAGATAGACCAGTGGAACCACATCAAACTGAAAAGCTTCTACAAAGCAAAAGAAAACATCAAGAGAGAGGGGAGACAGCCCATAGAATAGGAAAAAATATTTTCCAACTGTATATCTGACAAAGGCTTAATATCTAGGATCTACAAGTAACTCAAATGTGTCAAAAAGAAAAAAACAAACAGCCCTATTAGAAAATGGACAAAAGATATGAATAGACACTTCTCAAAAGAAGACATAAAAATGCTCAGCCTCACTAATCATCAAAGAAATGCAAATTAAAACCACGCTGAGATACCACCTAACTCCAGTCAGGATAGCCATCATCAATAACTCTAAAAACAACAGATGCTGGAGAGGATGTGGGGAAAAGGTAACACTTCTACACTGTTGGTGGGAATGCAAACTAGTACAACCTCTGTGGAAAACAGTGTGGCAATTCCTAATAGATCTAAAAATTGACCTTCCATACACTCCAGCAATCTTGCTTCTGGGAATATACCCAGAGAAACTCATATCAGTCTATGAAAAAGACACCTGCACACTCATGTTTATTGCAGCATTATTCACAATAGCAAAAACATAGAGCCAATCATGCTGTCCAGCAAAAGTGGGCTGGACAAAAAAATTTTGGTACATATACATGATGGAATATTATGCAGCCATAAAGAGGGGCAATATTATGAACTTTGCAACCACTTGGATGGATTTAGAGTCTATAATACTCAGTGATCTATCACAGAAACAAAGAACTGAGTACCACATGTTCTCACTCATAAGCAGACCATGAACAATTATCATAATACTATAAGAAAGGGATTGACAGTAGTGGGAAACTGTCAGGGGAGGGGGGGGCACATAATATCAATAAGGAATCTCAAGTCAGGCAAAGCGGGAACCAAAGTAAGGCCCAAACTTTATCTGTACAATGACCATTTATATACCTAATCCTGAATTGTACCCCACATCTTGAAAAGAAAAAAAGAAAAAAAGAAAATAACCCTATCACTTATCTGTCCTTTGTCACTATAATACCTTCTGCAGTTCGCTTAGGGTCTTTCCTCTGCAATGCACATTCCGCTTCCAGTTCTTTGTGTTTCTTCCTTTTCCTTCAAATTCAAATTCTTTTGGTGTTAACCAATCTCCCTTCTCATTCTGAATGCACTTCTCTGAGGATCCTGTAAACAAAAAAAGAAAGACAGCTGATTCTGGATTCCTCCTCTATCCTCTGTAAATTCACCCCAAACTTCCAAACAACTAATTGTAGCCTTCCACCTTTCTGGATTAGCAGAGACACTTTCTGTGAGATGCGGGTAGTAGTAGGCATTCTGGATTCTTCTCTTAGTTTGAAGGAAGCCTTAAAACTTGCCTGAGTGGTGGAGGGGGTAGGATAGAAATTGCTTTCATGTGACACCTACATGCAGCAAGGACATGGTGATCAGTATTGCAGGGTCCATTGATGACTTCCATGTGGGAGTAGAGTGGTTTGGTTGCCAGAAATACCACGATGTGGAAATGTTTGGAAATTCCATCTTAACAAGCATTCTTTTTATGCAGCCTAGCTAGTAGGGTTCATTTCCTGAACAATTATAGATATAGGTATTTTCCTTCTTTCTAGTGGTTCCTTCATCTAGAGGCTCTGAAGAGCAGAAGATCAAGGAACTCACCTTTTTTAAATTTCTCCTTATATAAAATCCCTTTTGCCTCACCACATGTCACAGGAAGTTTAGAACAGTGAAAATCCATAGTGTCATCTTTGGGTTTTTCTGAAAGTAGAAGAGAACAGTTTAGCATTATTCAGTCTTCATTCTGTCTTCCTCTTGAATTCTCTCCTCCATGAATTTCAATAATAATTATTAATAATAATAATGTAAGTAATATTGGGAACATTCTCTGGTTAGTTCCCAGAAAGTCTTCCATTTTGAGTGACAGATTAGCTACATGTAAAGAGTGGTCTGCAACAAACAAAACCATCATTGCCACCAATACTACCTCAAATAAAACATGCTAGTATAACATATAGGCTTCTTTGGTGAATGTGTTTTAATTTGCAAACTAATTGGCCATCACCTAATGTTCTTTTATTGCATAAATACCCTGCTTATCTCTCTGTGCTGATGGAGTTGTCTACCTAAAGTATTTTTTTGCATTCATGTTGCTGGAGGAAAAAAAAATCTTTGTTTATAGTCTTATTTCATGATTCAAATGAAGACTTGAGTAAGTGAGAGAGTTGGCAAACACTGAGAGGATGGTGTCAGTCTTCACTGTTTGCTGTCTTTCTTCGTTTTGTTGCTTCTCTATTTCTTCCTCTATGAATACAAGAAAACCCTGGAGAGTTCTAGATGAATCTCCAAATTGTACATGGAGACATTTGGCGACTCAGAGCCTCTGAGTAGGAGACTGGGGTTCTGATTTAGGAGATGTAGTTGAAAAAGGGTTTAAAATAAATATCAGTAGTTCCTACTGCCTTCCCCTCCAACTTCACTGTGGGTGGATTCATTAAAGAGAGCCTGCAGGTCTTGTTTCTCAGGGAAGAGAGGAAAAAGCTGTTCACATCTTTGGTTGAGATACCGAGAACGTTACACCTAAAGTGAGTCTGGGAGAATGCCTGGTCCAACTCCCTCTCTTGTTTCAAATACTTACTGCAAGAGTCACAGAAAAATGTATGAACAAAGTAGAGCACTATTGAAAAGAGGAAAGAGCACCATCAATGGCGAGGAAGATATTTACTACTTTGGAAAGATATGGAACAGAAGTGCCATTTTTTTTAAACCAACAAAGGCCTTCCCAGAAAGAAGCTGCCAGGAGAGACTGACTGAGTAGGGACTTGGGAACAAGTGGCCAGGGCTGTCCTGGTGAAGTGGCTGGTGCTGCAGTTGCTCTGCTTGGTCCCTACACTTCCTGGGGCGCAGAAGCCAAGCACTACTTTTTTTAAACCAATAAAGGCCTTCCTGGGAAGGAGTTGCTGGGAGAGACTGTGGCTTCAGACTCTGTTTCACCACTGCAGCAGGAAGAACTGCTGGCTCCAGGTTCTGCCTCACCACTGCAGTGCTTAGCTGGACACTGGCAGCTAGGGCTGTGGAGGGAGAACAGCAAGGGAGCCCAGAGGCAGAATTCCACTGGAAAAGATGAAAGAGGCATCCTGCCATCATCTTGAAAATGGGGCAGGAAAGTACTCTGGCTTACTCACCACAGAGCAACAGACCTGATCTCTGTGACCAGCGGATTAACTACTCAGGGGTTGATTGTGACCCAGAGGGAATATCCTGAAAGCACATCTCTGGAGTGACAGGATGAGTGCTGAGTCTCAGATGCCCCACTCCCTACCCTGATTCAGTTGCAGGACAAAGGGTGTGACCAGAAAAGGACGAGGAAGACCTCCAGAGAGATCAGTGCCCTGTTTCAAAACAGAACAAATCCAAGCTCAACAGAGAATACATCACAATTGCAAACTTGAAAACACACACACACATCAACCCCAAAACTAAAAGAAAACAAACAAACCATCAAAGAAAAACTTTATAAGAACCTCATGATGGGGATAAACAATCACATTTCAATAATCAGCCTGAATGTGAATGGACTAAATGCACCATTGAAAAGACAGAGAATGGCAAACTGGATTTTAAAAAAACTATGATCCAATTATTTGCTGCATTTAGGAAACTCATCTCACCACAAGGGACACACAGAGACTCAAAGTTAGAGGATGGAGAACAAGTTTCCAGGCAAATGGATTACAAAAGAAGGCAGGAGTCATGATCTTAATATCAGATAAAACAATCTTTAAGCTATCAAAATTTTAAAAAGATATGAAAGGATACTATATAATGATAAAATGCTCAATCCATCAACAAGAAATATTCATCCTAAACATATGTGCACCCAAGTCAGAAGCACCAGCATTTATAAAGCAACTACTAAGTAAACTAAAAAAAAGGTATTGACTCTAACACTATTATAGCTGAGGACTTAAATACCCCACTGACAACCCTAGATGGATTACTGAGGCAAAAAAATCAACAAAGAGATCTGGAACTTCAACTTGACACTTGACCAAATGAACTTAATAGATATCTACAGAATATTCCACCCAACAACCACAGAATATACATTCTACTCACCACCGCATGGAATATACTCCAAGATTGATCACATCCTCAGCCATAAATCAAGCATAAACAAATTCCATAAGATCTAAATACTGCCATGCACCTTCTCAGACCATAATAGAATAAAAATAAATATCAACACCAACAAATTCCACCAAAATCCACAAAGACATGGACACTAAACAGCATGATGCTGAAAGACTACTGGGTCAACACTGAAATCAAAACAGAAATTAAAAGAATTCCTGGAAACAAATAAAATTGAAGAAACATCTTATCAAAACCTCTGGGATGCCGTGATAACTGTTTTAAGAGGGGAATGTATATCTCTAAGAATACATATCAAGAAAATGGAAAGATCACAAGTTAACAGCCTAACAAATCACCTAAGGGAATTGGAAAGTTAAGATCACCAAAATCCTAACTTTAGCAGAAGAATCCAGATCACCAAAGTAAAAACCCAAATATGGGACATAGAAGACAAAAACATAATAGAAAACATCAACAAAACAAAAAGCTGCTTCTTTGAAAGATTAATGAACCACTAGCCAGAATGACCAAGAAAAAGAAAAAAAAGTCCAAATAAACACAATCAGAAATGTAAAAGATCAAATCACAGCTGACCCAAAGAAATACAAAAGATTATAACAGATTATTATGCATACTTGTATGGAAACAAACTTGATAACCTAAATGAAATGGAGGACTTCCAGACATCAGACAACCTCCCAAGATTGAAACAAGGAGATACTGAGGCATGAAATAAACCAAAAGCAACCCAGGAAATTGATTCCATTATAAGAAAACTACTTACAAATAAAACAAAACAAAAATCCCTAGACTGGACGACTTTCCAGCAGAATTCTTATAAAACATACAAGGAAGAGCTGATACCAATCCTAATTGAAAGTATTCCAGGCAATTGAGAAAATGGAATTCTCCCTAAATCATCTTATGAAACTAACATCACACTGATACTCAAACTGGGTAAAGATCCAACAAAAAAAGAGAACTACAGACCAATATCCCTTATGAACTTAAATGCAAAAATTCTCAACAAGATTCTAGCAAATTGGAGCCAACAACACATCTCAAAACTCATCCACCATGACCAAGTAGGCTTCATCCCCAGGATGCAGGGCTGGTTCAAGACCATAAACATTAATTAAATACATCAATAGATGTAAAAACAAGAACCACATGATTATATCATTAGATGCAGAGAAAGCTTTTGATAAAATCCAGCATCCTTTCTTGATTAAAAACCCTCAAACACTAGACATAGAAGGAACATACCTCAAAATAGTAAGCACCATCTACGATAAACCTGAAGCCAGCATATGGCTAAATGGACAGAAACTGGAAACATTTCCCCTGAAAACCAGAACAAGACAAGCCTGCCCACTCTCACCCCTCATTCAACATTGTGTTGGAAGTCCTAGCTAGAGCAATTAGACAGGAGAAGGAAATCAGGGGTATCGAAATAGGAAAAGAGGAAATTAAGTTATCCCTCTTTGCTGACAATATGATCCTATACCTCAAAAATCCAAGTGAATCAGTCAGAAAATTGCTTTCACTGATAAAGGACTTTGGCAGAGTCTCAGGGTACAAAATAAATCTGCAAAAGACAGTTGCATTCTTATACACCAACACCAACAACAACCAGACCGAGAATCAAATAAAAAGCACAATCCCATACACAATAGCCACAAAACAAAACAAAAACAAACTAACAAAAACCCTCAGCATCTTCCTAACCAGAGAAGTGAGATACCTTTACAATGAATACTACAAAATACTGCTCAAAGAAACCCAAGAAGACACAAATGGAAAAATATTCCATGCTTATGGATTGGAAGAATCCTATTAAAGGCAATCTACAAATTCAACACAATACTCATTAAATTACCAACATCATTCTTCTCAGACTGGAAATGACAATATGGAAATTCATATGGAAACATAAACGAACACAAATAACCAAAACAATCCTTAGTAAAAGAAACAAAGCAGGAGCATCACACTTCCAGACTTCAAACATTACTATATGACTACAATAATCAAAACAGCCTGGTATTGGTTCAAGAACAGGCATATGGAACCAATGGAACAGGATAGAGATTCCAGAAGCAAAACCTCAATTTCTCAACCAACTCATCTTCGACAAAGCCTCTACTAACAACCACTGCAGAGAGGAGAATTTATTCAGTAAATGATGCTGGGAAAACTGGCTGACCACATGCAGAAGATAAAAACAAGAACCCTACCTATCACCATACACAAAAATCAACTCAAAATGGATCAAAGACCTAAATGTAAAATCTCAAACTATAAGCATCTTAGAATATGCAGGAGATACCCTTATGGAAATCGGAACTGGCAACCAATATCTTATCGAAACTCCAAATGTCCATGCCATAAGAGATAAGATAGACCAGTGGAACCACATCAAACTGAAAAGCTTCTACAAAGCAAAAGTAACCAAGAGAGAGGAAATGCCACAAGACTCCACATCATACCATCAATAACAGCACAGATACCTCCGTTTGATTAGAAGTTACAGACAGGGTGGAAGCACTAAGGAGAAAGGAGAAACACTGATGCTGGCAGACAATTGTTGGTATTTGTCTGGGCTCCTGCATATACCAGTGTTTCATAAAAAGACTAGGTGGTATCTGAGTTTATTTATTTACTTTTTTAGTGTAAAGAACAAAGGACTTGGGATTAGAACAGCTAGGTTGATCGTAATTCATGCAAGTCTTTTACCTTTTTATTTAATCTGCTAAATAGACTGATAACACTCATTGTTAGGGATAAATGACAAAATGTAGAGCAAAGGGCTTTGCTGACTGTGAAGTGAGGTGCACACTTACATTGTTATAAGGTTTCTGTAGAAGGTTGTATGGGTTGTGTACTAAGTAAGGACTCCATCTTTAAAGGGTGCTCCAATTCACATCAGAAACGATTGATTGTCGAGCTTGGCGGCTCAGCCTGTAATCCCAGCAATTTGGGAGGCCGAGGCGAATGAATTGCTTGAGCCTGCGGGTTCGAGACCAGCCCAGGCAACTTGGCCAGACCCCGGCTCTACAATAAATCAAAAAATTAGCCGGGCGTGGTAGAGCGCCTATGGTTCTGGCTACTTGGAAGGCTGAGGCGAAAGGATTGTCAGAGCCCAGCAGGTCGACGCTGGGTTGGCCACGAGTGTGCCACTGCACTCCAGCCTGGGAAACGAAGTGAGACTCAGACTCAAAAAAAACAAAAACAAAAAAAACCACACCCAAACAAAAAAAACAAACAAAAGATTGATTTGTATGCTTAGTACAACAACCTTCCAGTAGAGGGCAGCAAAGGGCTTGGTTTCAAGAATCAGTTCTGACGAGGTTGTGCATTGAGAAAGGGTACCTTTTTCTACTGGATATTAGCACTCACACTCAGTGAAGAAGTATGAATAACGTATTGATTCATCAGTTATTTAAGTGCCAACTGTGTGAGGCACGGGGAGCTGGACATCCAGGGCTGAATAACATTAATCCACTTTCTGACTTCATGTGACTTTCACACAGCCAACAGCCTGTACACAGCTCATTAATTACAGTTGAGATACATACTATGAAGGAAAAATGCAGAGCCTGTGAACTATGACTGGGAGACCCACCTCCACCTGCAGGGACAGAGACTGCCTCCCTGTGCAAGTGATGTTTAAGGTGAAGTCAGAGGGTGTACAGCAAAGGCGGGGGGGGGGAGGGTGAGGGGATTGGTTTTGGGGAGGGTTGTGTGAGAGGGGAGACCCATGTGAGGAGGCTCTGAGTAGGAAGGAAGATCAAGCATTCAGTGTCCAATGACCTAAGTTGCAAGAGATCAGCTGGCATGAATCTAGATGTGTGGGTAAGGATTGGACTCTTGGGGTTGGTTAAGTTCTGTTCCTTGGCCTGGGTGCTGGGTACATGACTGCTTTGTGTGTGTGTGTTAATCTGTCAGGCTGTACACGTGCATTTTTCTAAAAGCATGGTACACTGGTGCTACTTAATAATCTGGCCTGTGATGATTCAGGACTTGATCAGAATCCGCACTGCTATCTCCACTGAGGAGCCTTGCAATGAAAACAGTGTACTTAGTGTCACAGTTGATTTACCAACTCCTTATTCCTGCAGACCTGCAACAAACAGGCTTGAAGATGGAAGCAGTCTGGGGACCCTACTGTGTGTAGCAATTATTCTACTTCAATAATGAAAAAAAGGCCAATGTGGCAGGAGCCTAAAGAGGGAAGAGAGAGTGACATGAGGTGATGCTGAAAGGATAGGCATAAAAGCAGAAGAAAAATGAATGCAAGAAGAGGAGTGGAAGGGAGAGGAAAACAGTGATGCAAAGGGGCTCAAGAATGCAGAGGGTCAGAAGCAAGCCTAGGCCCGGACTGCAGAGCTCAGCCCACAGACCCTGACCAACCAGGAAGAGAAAGCTCATCCCCCAGGAAATGAGAGCACAGCCAGGTTCTTCTTGGATAAGGGTTTCCTTTAATTTCTAGAGTGGAAAAAGCAGGAGTTTATATTAGCACTTGACTTATGAGTTCAGCCATCTCCCTGAGACATTTTTGGGTCTTTGTTCAGTCCTGTGTTAAAGAATCCTTCCAAGTGTGGGAATAGAGGGTAGGTTAGGCAGCCAGCACTCCTGATGTGGATGTGCCATCATTCAGTACCTTGGAAGGGTGGAGAAGAACCCAGGAGGAGAAGGACAAGGGGGGACGGTGGGAGAGAAAGAGGAGGAAGAGAGGGAGGATGGAGACTGCAGCAGAACCTAGGGCCTGGAGGAGCCCGAGGGGGAGGCGCTGTCATTTGCTTGCTTACCCTTTTGGTGAGTATTTTTCCGAAACTTTTTTTTTGAACTTGAACAGATATCATTTTTCCTGTTCTTTCCTAAAAAAAGATGAATAATCACTTATAGCTATAAACATAGATTTATAAGCTGCATATATCAATACTTTTAAAGTACTTTTCCCTATCTTTCTACCAGTTTGGAGAGACAAGTTATAAATGAATTGCTATAAAAGGAAAATTATAGCATTGACTAAGGAAAAATCACAACCTTGTGTTAATAGACAGGAAGGCTAAAAATAGCCCAGACGCCAAACTTTCACAAATGAATGCATGTATATACACTTGAATCTCCCCCATTCACAGAGGGTATGTGCCAAGTGTCCTAGTGGATGCCAGAAGCTGCAATAGTACCTAACCTCGTATACATGATGTGTTTTTCAATCTGATAGCCGAGATGGCTGCCAAGTGACTAATGGGCAGGTAGTGTACACAGCAAGGACAAAGGGATGATTTATATCCCCTGGCGGGACATAATGGGACACTGCAAGATTTCATCATGCTTCTCAGAACGGCATGCACTTTAAAACCTATGAATTGTTTATTTCTCTAGTTTTCTATTTAATATTTTCTAACTGCAGTTGACTGCCAGTTACTGAAACCATGGGACATAAAACTGCTGATCGGGGGAAGGCTACCGTATAGCCTTAAACATATTACATAGAAAGGGCTTGCTAAGGAAGACGTTCAGGGCATGACTCATTGGTTAATGCTGGGTGATTTTGCTCCATAGGAGATAGCTGGCAATGTTTGGAAATCTTTAGTTTGTCAAGACTGGAAGGCGGGTGCTACTGGCATCTAGTGGGTAGAGGCCAGGGAAGTTGCTAAACACCCTGTGACACACAGACGGCCTCTACAGCAAAGAATTATTCAGCTCAAAATGTCAATAATGCCAAGATTGAGAAACTGCAGTACCAACCATACTGCTAAAGGTAAACTGATGTGTCCATCTATTTTTTTTTAAGTCTCCAAAACCAAAACTTTTAACTTTTTGTAAGTTAAAAGACAAAAAAAAGAAAATTGCAGTAAGTATAATGAATGGATAATTTTCGCAGCTGATTACACAAAAATGCCTAGTACTATATAAAAATGAGCAAATCAAACAAGTGGCTCCCAAAAGAAAAAAAATTCAAGTGACAAATTTATTTAAAAACAGGTAAATTAATAAAGATAGGATAGATAATGTTGTGGTAATTCATGATTCTCCCAAATCTCAGTGGTTTCTTAAATGTGTCAGCAAACTATGGCCCAAGGGTCAAACTGGCCTACAGCTTGCTTTTGTAAATAAAGTTTTATTGGAACACAGCCACACCCATTTGTTTAGGTATTTGTCTCTGGCTGTCTTAGTGTTACAAAGGCAGAGTTGAGTCATTGAAATGGATTGTATGGCCAGCAAAGCCTACACTGTTTGGAAACTTTGAAAAAAAATGTTACCAAACTGACTTACAACAATAAAGATTTATTCATGCTACTTTTTCATGAATGAGATAAGGCTCAGCTCCATATCATCGACACTCATGGCTCCTAGAGACAGAGGAGCCTCTGTCGAGAAGATCACTGGTCTTGGAGCAGAGAGAAAGAAAACACGAGGACTTTTAAATCTTTGGAACACAGACTTGCTAACTGAACACTAGTGAAGGGAATGTCACATGCTGAGGATGGTGGAGCAAGTAAGAATGAGCAGGGACTCTATGGTACAAGACATCAGACCTTGACCACCTACTTCTGTACAGGAAAGAGAAATAAACTCTTTTGCATTAGCTATTATTATTATTATTTATAGTATGGAAATGTTTTTGTGTTAAAAAATGCTTTTAAAAAGGATAAGTCCTTTTCTGGCATGGAGGGCACAATAAACAGTGAGAGTAACATCAATTCCACCCCAACAGAGATTAAGTAGGTTCTTCTCTACACTTATACTCGTCCACAGGAGATTTCCCCAAAGAAAATCCTATTATCCATAGGATCTAGAAAGTAACAAAAAAGAAAATAAATTTTAAATAAGCACATTACATATTTTTGTGATCATTCTCATTTCAGGCAATAGTGAATTAGCAAAGGTTTGACAATATTTCTGTCTCTTCATTTCTAATGAAGAATGACAGCTACTGAAAAGAGTTCCTGGGACCAGGATACTAGTCCTGTGCCAGTTAGCCATTACCCACAGGATCTTGGAAAAACTCATCAATCCTTTCCATGTCTCAGTTTCCTCATCTGTAAATTGGAATAAGTCATTCAACCATCTCCAAAGGTTGTTGTGAGAATAAAATGAAATTATCCATGAGAAAAGTTGAAATAGTGCAATGTAGGAGAAACTGTTTAAAATGATTATTTGAATTTTAAGTTGCTAAAATCAAGGAACTCTTCCTGACAATAATTAGATAGTTGCTGTTTGAAAGTCAAATTTGTCATGCAAGAGTTCTGTGACACAATGACCATATCACCAACAAACAGAAGCATATTCAGCTGCTTTTTTCCCTCTAAGGACAGTGGTATCAATTTACTCCAGAAATATAAATATGGTAGCAGTGATGAGGTGTGAATTAACACGCACCATTTTACCAGCACACGCCCATAACAACGTTAGTGGCACACGCTCAATCATGGTGTTACATATGTGTTTATGATGAACTTTTTGCCCTCTAATTTTCTTAGAAAAACAACATGAGAAATACGGAGATTGAAATTCAAGGAACAAGCCTGATTCATGGATTGGGTACTTTCAGTATAGTCCCAAGAATTTACTTAAGACATGCATTCTCTGTCATGTCCCCAATATTGCAAAAATTGGTTCTTCGGTGGTGATAAAAAGTTTATGAAGCACAGATACATATACAGATAATATGTAAATATAGTGTATAAATTGACATATATTGGTGGTATTAAAATATCATGGATAGAGTCATGGTTAGGGAAAAACATGCAAAATGGCTATGTAGGACAGTAATAATGAAAAAGAAAAGTTGAGAAACACTGGTTTTGAGTAAAACAGCTCAGAATTTGGGATCCTGATGACTGTACTCTGAGACTGATTCTCAGTCTTTACTTTGAGTGACCCTTGGTGGTATGCTAGATGTCTCCTGGGACCTCTTTCCTGCATTCATTTCTGAAGTGCCATCACTGGTCTCTGGAAAAAAAAATTCAGTAGTGTTCCCTGGGAAGTTCCCCAGAAATCTCCCAGAGACCCAGGAAGGACCTTGTGCACCCTGGAGCTCAGGGCTGGAGGCTCTAGATCTTTCCTTTCTGAGAATGCATGTATCAGGAAGTTTGGTGTTGCTCCCATCACTGTGCCTCTCTGCCACTCAGAAAAGAAGCCGACCGAGGTTGGTCAGCAGTGGTTACTATACTAATAGAGACATTCACAGGGGGACGCAGCCATCTGAGCCCCTTGGCCAGAGGCTCTCAAAGTAAGGTCTGTGAACCCCTAGGACGTCCCTGAAACCCTTTCAGAAGATTTGCAAGGTCAAAATTGTTTTCATAACACAATGTTATTTGTCTTTATCTCTATTTCGACCTTTGCACAGATTAAGCAAGAGCAATGGCAGGTAAAACGGCTGGTACCTTAGTACAAATCAAAGCCATGTCTTCAAACCTTAGCAGGAATCTTTATATTCATCACTGCCACCTGCTTACTATATAATAATAAAAGCCAGGTTCACTTGAAAATGTTCTTGGTGAACCAGAAAAAAATCATTAATTTTATAAATACCAGTAAAAATTATTGTTATTAAATTTCTACCCTTGAATACAGTATACGTCTTTTTAATATTCTATGTAAAAAGCTGGGGAGTACATATAAATCACTTCTGCTGCACTTTGAAGTACCACAGTTGTCTCCAGAAAGATCCTTGTGTGATTGCTTGAGTTGCATGCTCACTGTATAATTCAAGTGAACCAATATTTTCCAAATGTCTACAATATTATAAAATCTTGCAATAGCAAAAGCCATCCAAAATGCAAGGTGGTATAATGTATTTTATTGCAACAGAGTGTGAAGTTCATTTATATGGTTTTAGATTCTATGTTACAATGAATGTTTAAGAAACTACCACTTGTTGGGTTTGGGGTAGTGTTAAAAATGAATATTCACAGACATCTCAAAAGACTGTTAAAATATTCTCTTTTCAACTACATATCTATGTGAGGCTGGTTAGCCGAAGTAATATAACACAGTTGATTAAATGCAGAAGCAGATATGGGAATCCAGCTTTCTTTTATAAGGGTAGAAATTAAATATATTTGCAAACATATCAAATGATGCCATTCTTTTCAATGATTTTTCTGTTTTAAAAATATATTTTTCATAAAATAATGTTACTTATGTTAATAGGTTTATTATGGCTACTTTTAAATGAGTTAATAAATAAATATTTAAGCCGGGCTCGGTGGCTCAGCCTGTAATCCCGTGCCTTTGGGAGGCTGAGGTGAGTGGATTGCCTGAGTCCGTGGGTTCGAGACCCGCCTGGGCAACTTGGCGAGACCTCATCTCTACAATAGATCAAAAATTAGCTGGGCATGGTAGCGTGCGCCTGTAGTTCCAGCTACTCGGAAGGCTGAGGCGGAAGGATCGCCGGAGCCCAGCAGGTCGAGGCTGCGGTGGCTGGGAGCAGCCACTGCACTCCAGTCTGGGCGACAGAGTGAGACTCCAACTCAAAAAATAAAATAAAATAAATAAATATTTAAAAATTATTAGTTTTAATTTCTAATAAGATATAGACAGACATAAACAACATAAACAAAAACTCCTAGGAGTCCTCAGTAATTTTTACGAGTATAAGGGAGTCCTGAGACCAAAAAGTTTGAAAGCTGCTGCCCTAGGCCACAGCTGTCCCTCTGAATGTACACATTTCTTCAACAAAAACTACTGAGATTCTTGTTTTTGTTCTTTTTTTTTGGTCCCTCTTGTCACACTTCATCTTCATTCTCTGTACTTCTGCTTCCTTCTACTGTTAACTTTACATATTCGCCTAATGCGGAACCTGCTCCAGGAGACTCTCCCATGCCAAGCTATCTGAATGGTAGATTCTATCATCAGCCTTACCCTTTGCTCTGGACGTTTGGGTACAGTCAATTTTCGCCTTTTGGGCTCTTGTCACTACCTTCAAGTTCCAGGTTGAGTCGTCCTTCCTTTGAGTCACTTGATCCATCACTTGGATCTTCTCCTGGATTCCATGCCTAGGTGAGGCTGTCCCTGGACCAAGTAATAATTTGTCAGTAGTTTAAATTGGGGTCCCCAGTGAGCCTTTTACTCCGATCAGTGACTTCTCTTCACATACTACAAGCCCCCATACTTTCAAGAGATCTCTGTATTCTTGTGCCTAATTTTTTTCCCTGCTATTTCTCTATAATTATATCCTTTTTCTTATGTGCCTTTCTTTGTCCCCCCGAATCACCATCTGCTGTCCCTCCAGGTACCTACTACCTGTTGAAATCAACTAGGTAAATTTTGGGGAAATCCCAGAGCAGTAGGGCTTATTTCCTGATTTTGTTTGTGTGACCCTTGCACCATGAGAAGTCCACATTTGTAGAAGGGCTATGGCCGTGTAGTCTTGTTTAGGGGCCTTAGAAAGCATCTCTCCAGGGTCCCCCAGGGCCTGTGTGTAGTATGGGAAAAATCCAAAGGTGCTTAGGTGCCTCTAAGGGGAAAAAGTGCAAGGTTTCAAAGAATTGGGCAAAGACTCTGCCAAAATGTGTGAGTCAACTTCACTGTGTACAGATGAGAACACGATTTTCACTGGCTGTGGACTTTAGAAGCTGAATCCACAGGATGACCCTAGCCCAGTGGAACAATGATATTTCTGGACAACTGCAAGAACACAGTATGTGGCCTCGCCTCCTCCAGGCAGGTGGAGGGGAACTTTTTCGGATACCCAGGGGTCACTTCCAGAGGAAGCAGGTAGGTCTATGTGCTTGAGAAGTGCCGGAAGCAGGAAGAGGGCAGGACCTAGGCCTGGAGGGAAGTTCAAACGTGGAAGCTACTGAACATTTATCCAAAGGAAACTGGGGCAAATATAAGAGTGTAAAACTTGCCTTTAATTGGCAAGTTTAATTTTTTTTCCTGCATAACAAAAGGAAGGTTTCAGAGAAGATGAGAACCCTTATAGAAAAAATGAGAATGTGCTATGGATACTTTCAGCACTACTATATGGTGTTTTGGGGTTTTTTTGCCCCTCTCTTTAAATTTTGAAACATCTTTTTAGGTGTTTTGATTTTTAAAATAACGGTGATTAGTTAAATGTAAAATAATGTGTCTCTTAAAAATACCTCTGTTGGGCTAGGGGGAGGGAGAAATGGGGAATTGGGGAATTATTGTTTAATGGGTACAAAGTTTCAGTTTTATAAGAAAGGAGATTTTGAGATGGATGGTGGTGATGGTTGCAAAATATTGTGAATGTATGTAATACCATAGAATTGTACACTTAAAAATGAGATGATGAATTTTATATCATGTGTATTTTATAATAAAAAAATTGGAAGAACAATTTTAAGCACACTATCTGTCACATTTAAAATAAAGAGATTCCTTACAAGAAAACTTGTAAAAAAAAATTTCATTTAAATACAATATAAAAAAAGAGAAATCTGGATGAGTCAGTCATCTACTACTCCTTTCTGTAGCTTCACAGAAAGTTTTAAGAAAGTCAGAGTTGCTTCAATAGAACTGAAAGTCTGACACCAGCCCTGGACTCTTGAGGCTTCCCCTTTCTAACAAAGCCATTTCTCTGACCCAAGAGTGTTTATTATTGCATAGTTGCATAGACATCCTCTGTCTCTGACCCTGTAATGTGTAGAGCGTTATGGCAGTGGGCATCTCAGTACTGGGATGCCATTTATGCCTGCCCTAAACTTGAGACAATAAGAATTTGGAGGATTGCATAGCCTCTTCTTGTCTACTATGAAATTTTCCTCCAGTAACTTTTAATTTCTATCTATACCATGTGGTACTCTAAGCATAGCACAATAATACATTCTTAAACTATCCTTTCTCAGATTATTCAAATTTTGTTACAGAAAAAATGGGTTCTTTCATTTGTTTTCATACACGAAATCTTTCATTTGTGCATGGGTATTACTATCTAGCCTAGAAAAGACACATTATATAAGTAATTACAATAACGTATGTGAGATCTTCCAAAAGAGCCAGTGCTGGGTGCTATAGAAACCTACAATGGGACCAAGTTGACTAATTTAGAGGTCAGAGTATGCCTTTTTGAGGTAAATATTTATACCAACACCAGTGATAAAAGGAGATAACCAAATATTTAGAGGGAGTAGTGAATGGTAAGAATAATATAGCATTTGGCCAGGCTTGGTGGTTCAGCCTGTAATCTCAGAACTTTGGGAGGCTGAGGTGAGTGGACTGCCTGAGTCCGTGGGTTCGAGACCAGCCAGGGCAACTTGGAAAGACCTTGTCTCTACAATAAATAAAAAAATTAGCCGGGCATGGTAGCGTGCCCCTGTAGTTCCAGCTATTTGGAAGGCTGAGGCAGAAGGATCGCTGGAGCCCAGCAAGTCGATGCTGGGATAACCGTGAGCATGCCACTTCACTCCAGCCTGGGTGACAGAATGAGACTCCAACTCAAATAAAAATAGAATAATATAGCATTCGAAGAGAACAGCACATACCAGGGGCCAAAGGGGAGGAAAGAAAATGAAAAGAAATGAAAGTTCAGAGTGGTTGGCTCAAATTTTGAGTGGAAAGAGACATAGTTGGAAGGTGACATAGTTGGAAAGTAAGGCAAGAGTTGGACTGGAGAGAGCTTTAACATCACATTAAGAACCACGATTGTTGCTGAAAGGGCAATAGGAGGTCATGGACAGGATTTAAACATGAAAATGAAATAATCAGATTTCAGTGTAGACAAGAGAAGGTAGAGTCAATAGAACTCGTAGTATACTAACAGATGACAGGTTTTTGCTTGGCATCTGGGTAGTGGGGACTGTTCCTCTTAAGTTAAATAAAATCCAAAATCCTCTCAAGGGCCTGTGGGGCCCTACATGATCTGGCACTTATCTACTTTCGCATTTTGTATCACCTTGTTTTCTTCATCATCGCCCAGCAACACTGGTCTTTCTTCTCAGCCTTGGGTCCTTTGCACTTTTGAGACCCTCTGCCTGGACCATCCAATCCAAAGTGACCTCTGCTCCAACATGCAAGTCACCATTGTAATCCTATACTTTATTTTCTTTTATTCTGTCATTAGTACCTGAGATTATCCTGTTGATGTGCTTTCTAGCTTATATTCTTTCTCTGCCCCAACCAGATATAAACTCTATGAACTTTCTTTTTTCTTTTTTGCTTGCTTTCCCACCTTAAAAAAATCTGCCTTCAGCATGGATATATACAGAGTCCATTCTCATTGCATATTTGTTGAATAAATGCCTGAAGACCAGGTTTTTGATGAAGAAGATGAATTCAATTTCAGACATACTGAGATTGTGGTGTCAATGGGAGACTTGCAAATAAAGATGCCCAGTATGCAGCTGGCTAAGTGTTTCTTGAAGACAAATCTGAGTTGGAGATGTAGATTTGGGAGCCAGCTATGTAGAGGTAGTAACTGAAGAACTGAAGTTGTGAGAGTGATTGACATAGCTCAGGGAATATGAGTTGAATAATTTGAGTAGAACTGTGTAAATCAAACTAAGGAGGCCCATTGAGAACACACAGCATGATGAGAGGTCATTGACTTGAAAGTAGAGTTGCGGGGAGAGCAGCTTGTCTCTCCTCCCTGTCCAGGAAGGCTACTTACCTTTGGGGAAAAGGCACAAAACAGAATCATTTTTATGAAATACCTTAAAAGGAGACCAGCCTTGTGATTTTGGACACTGGAATCATGCTAAGGGTAAATTAAACCAGGGAAAAGGAGCTTCAAGCCCCACTGGCTTGGGCCACCACCTGTTGCTCTCTTTCCCTTTACAGCTAGAGTTGTCTACAAATTTTATTACCTCCCATTTATTATTCTTCCCTTTGCTACTGGCTCCTGCCTCCAAGTGTCCCAGTGGTACCTTGTGACCCAACCCAAGGTCTTCTCTGAATTTATCTTAATCGCCTCAGTATAGTCAACCATTCCCTCTTGGCTTACTGTCATGTTCTCTGTTGGTGCTCCTCCCCTCTCACTGGTCTCTCTTCCCCTTGGTCTGACTCGCTGGATTCCTCTTCTATTGGGATTTCTGAGAACAGGGCTAGGTCCTGGGTCTTCTCTTTTCTCTCACAGGTTTGAATGCATTCAATTTACTGATGGTTCCTGTACTTATCTCTCTGGAACAGATTTTTCATTGAGTGCCAGAATGGCATATAGGGAAAAATAACTTTCTGATTTCTCAGTGCTCCTATAAAAAGCCTTAGCCTCCTAAGACACAGGAATGTACGTGATATATAAAATAGGAAATGTTTGCTTTCACGTCCCTTAGAAATATCTTACTTTTCATATACTATGAGACTTAGATTTATAGCTATTTTTCTAGTTAGTTGCACTGATCTAAAAGGATAATACAGCCTCTCTTCTCTCCTGGGATGGCCAAAGTACCAGGAAAACTGGAAGGTTCTTTCCCTAGGTACTTACATATCAAAAGGGATAAAGTCCAGAACGTGAGACATTTTTAGGTTGTAAAAGCTAATGACACTAGGAGTTTCTTTGAAAAAAAAAACTTTGGAAAGCCTCATTTAAATTCCAAAAGGTTTGAGTGAGGATCCACGATCTTTTCCCACTTTAACAGCAGCAAAGTTTTTTCATCTCCTTTCAGGAGAGGAGGAGGATGGCTGTATCTCTCTTGTATATAAATAGCAAATCCATCATTCTTCACCCCTTGTCTATGGGATGTAATCTGTCATCTAAATAGAAAGATTCTATCAGCTCTCTAAGCATTGCCTGTGGGTTTGTATATGGGGGACAGATGTTGCAGTGTTACTCTAGCTGTTGAACTGGTTATGACTGTCAATAAAGGATTTCCCCCCCCCCCGACTTGGGTACCTTGCATTTCTGCAGTATTCATACATATATCTGCAGTATTCATACATATAAAGAACAAACCCAGACAAGTTGAGTAAACATCTCAGACCTTTCACGGTTTTTGGCAAAACATATCTATAGATGGCTAGCAGAAACCTCTAAACGAACAGGTACAAAACTGAACACTAAAACTCCCTCCGCCCCAGGCCAGGTGGGTGGCTCACAGCTCACAACAGTAATTCCAGCACTTGGGGAGGCCAAGACAGGCGCATTGCTTGAGCTCAGGAATTCCAGGCCAGCCTAGGCAACATAGTGAGACCTTGTCTTTACAAAAATGAAAAATAAATAAAATAAATTTTAAAAACTAGCCAGGCATGGTGGTGCATGTCTGAAGTCCCAGCTACTTGGGAGGTTGAGGCAGAAGGATCTCCTGAGTCCAGGAGGTCAAGGCTGCAGTGAGCCATAATCCTGCTTCTGCATCCCAGCCTGGGCAACAGAGTAAGACATCAATTAAAAAAAAAAAAGTTCCCTTAAACATGTTTAAAGCCTGGCTCGGTGGCTCAACCTGTAATCCCAGCACTTTGGGAGGCCAAGGCAAGTGGATTGCCTGAGCCTATGGGTTCGAGAACCATCTGGGCAACTTGGTGAGACCTCATCTCTACAATAAATCCAAAATTAGCTGGGTGTGATAGCACACACATGTAGTTCCGGCTACTTGGAAGGTTGAGGTGGAAGGATTGCCGGAGCTCAGTAGGTCAAGGCTGTGGTGTCCAGGAGAGTGCCACTGCACTCTAGTCTGGGCAACAGAGTGAGACTTCAGCTCAAAAAAAACCCCAACATATTTGCATTGACCCTCAGCAACAAGCATTACCGTTTACTCAATCATTCAAGCCAGAAATGGAACAGTAACCCTTGATTTCTCTCTTTGTCTCTCATCCCAAACTTAAAACTTATCAAGTAATGTAAACTTTACCTCCAAAACTGATCCTGAATCCCCCCTCTTCTCTGCATTCCCACTGCCAAATTGGAATCCAGGCCGCCCATAACTCCTGGCATCTGCCCCCCAGTGGTTGCCTTGCCTCCATTCTTGCCTGTCTCCAGTTCATTCTTTTCACAGAAGCAAAATTGGTCTTGGCTCCTGTCACTTCACTGATTAAACCTCTTCAGTAATTTCCCAGTGCATCTGGAATAAAATTCAACCACACACACCTTGACCTACAAGGCCTTCATGAGCTGTCTCCAGCCTCCAGTCTCCTCTTGTACACTCATCTTACCTCTTTGGAGGCTTTTTTTCTGACGTCTCTTTTTTGGAGTTGACCAGATGCTTCTTTTTCTTTTTTTTCCTAAAAGGAAAGAAAAAAAGATAATATGTTATAGTTTTTTTTAATTAATTTTATTTTAAAGATGGGGGTACAGTTTGGGATTAGGTATACAAGTAGTCATTGTACAGGTAAAGTTTGGGCCTCCCTTTGGTCACTATTCACCTGGTTTGAGATCAGGTACCCTTATTGATGTTATGTGCCACCCTCCTCTGGCACTTTCCTGCTACTGCCAATCCCTTTCTTATATGGTAAATATTCAAGGTCCGCTTATGAGTGAGAACATGTGGTTCTCAGTTCTTTGTTTCTGTGATAAATCACTGAGTATTATAGACTAATATTTTATAGTTATAGACATAAACCTGCCAACTGGTTAGAAGGTCACTGGTGATCTTAAGTGATGCTACTTCATGATGTAATAGGGGAAGAAGAAGCTTTAAAGTGACAAAGGAGAGAGAGAAGTAAATAAATGTGGACAGGGGATTTAGGTAGCTCATTTCTAGAAGTTTGGTTGTGAAATGAAGAAAAGAGTATGGAGGCAGTTGAAGTGAGATGAGAATCAAGAGAAAGTGTTTCTTTTTGAGCTGTGATAGGCTTAAGCATTGGCTGAATGCAGAGCCTTGTGTGAGAGAGAGACACTGCTATATGGAGTAGGCGAGAATGAAGGGATCATGGAAACTATAGGGTGAGGTGAAAGGATTGCCTTAGGGAGAAGGAGGGAGCTGGACGGGAGAGAGACAGATGCAGTTAGGGCTTGCAGGGCTACAGCAGGAAGTGAGGGGATTCTCATTTAATACCTTTCTATGAAGCAGGAGGCAAAGTCATCTGTTAAACAAAAAGGAAGAGGCAAGTGGGTCAGAGATTTGAAAAATAGAGCTCAAAGTTTGAAAGAATCATTGCAGGAAGTGGAATTGTCACACAGTGTGGAGAGATGTTTTGTGCTGGCATCATGGAAACATAGCGAGTACACTCTGCCCTGCTGTGTGACTCTTTTCAGTACGGCCTGCTTTCAGTTGCAGTGTGCAGAGAGCAGATAAGGAGGTTCCTCCAAGACTTGCCAGAGAGTTCCAGGAAAAGGCAAGTGGAAAGGCAGGTTTAAAATAATGGCAATAGATTACTGAAATGATGGCTTGTGAACTCTAAGCTTATAGAAAGGGTTGTGAAGAAAAGCAGACGATGGACTAGAAGAGGGAAAGGCCAGTGGACAGTGATCCAAACAAGGCTGGAGGACAGCTGCAAAGGAAATAAATTATAAGAACACAGAAAGGGATATTTTTAATTTTTTTTTATATTTTTGAGTCAGAGTCTCACTCTGTCACCCAGGCTGGATTGCAGTGGTATGCTCTCAGCCACCCCAGCAGCAACCTGCTGGGCTCAAGCAATCCTTCCGCTTCAGCCTTCCAAGTAGCTGGAACCACAGACATGCACCACCATGCCCAGCTAATTTTTGATTTATTATAGAGATGAGGTCTTGCTATGTTGCTCAGTCTGATCTTGAACCCAGAGCTCAGGTAATCCTCTCTCCCCTGCCTCCCAAAGTGCTGGGATTACAGATGTGGGTCACTGTGCCCAGGCTTATTTTTATTTTTTTAGGATTGGGCTGAGAAGGAGCGATCAGAAGTTGAACAATAGTCCAGAAGGAGAAAACTTCAAGGATAGGTGTCAAAAAGGGAATTCTTAAGTTAACTATGGGGAAATTGACCAGGTTTGAATGATGATAATGTCTGTGGATTGCCTTTGGGCATGGGAAACCAAGAATTGGTGGAGGAAAACGTCACTGGAAATGAAGAGGGATTTGAGAGGCCAGCATCTTGGATGGGTTGCCTGTTATCTATGTGTACCTTGAAGGCATCCAGGGTGATGGCAGGACTTGAGGTGACAGAAAAACAGCCTCTGAGGTTTGCTGGGAAGTGATGTGGAAATCAATGAGTGATAGTGGTGAAGATAAAGAGTGAGTGTTTTAATTGAATGGTTAAGCCTCAAAAGAGGATATGGAGCAAGGGACTGAATGGGGACAGCGAGTAGCAAGGGATGGACATCCAACCTGCTTCCCATCATGAAGTGTGGTGGTGGATGGCAGAGAATGCCCAATCATGTCTTAAGAGGGGGTGATGTCCTCTCTGGAGAACCAACATTCAGTTAAAGAGGAAGGTGCAATTAATTCTCTAAAAAGTTGTGGATAGAGGAGACCCATGGTTTCAGAACAGGCAATCCCAATGGATGCATATTTCAGTGTCCTTAAATGCCTTCCAGTGTTCCTATAATTTTCATAAAGACCTTTAAGAAAAGTGCAGTGAATGGAAACTGAAGAAATAAACTGCTGGACATCATGGCTGTAGTTGCATAGCGGGTACTCGTGACAAGATATGATCAGGAAGACAGAAAGCAATTCAGCAACTGAATTCACCCTTCTGACATCTATAGGAGAAAGGCCATCCTTACCTTTCGTGTTTGGAGGTATGCTGGGTACCTCCTGGGGCTCTTCTGGGTCACTTGATTCTGTAGAATCATCTCTCATCACTAACAAAAAAATATAATTTACTTCAGAGCTCAGAACAGGTTAAAGAGAAAGTGCTGAGAGACATCCATAGGAGAATGAGAAAGTGGAAAGCACATGTGGCCCTGGGCTGCGAATCTGCCAGTCCTAAGGGTTTCCTGGCTCTGCCTTGATTTTTAACTTGTGGTTATTGTTACCTATGTGACTGTCACAGTGGACCAGGGGACAACTGCCCCACAGCAGAGACTCAATCTGTGCCATTTGGAGAAATTCTTTTACCGGGTGGAAGAGAAGTACCAGGGTTCCCAGTAGCCCTTGCTCAGGGAATGGAGCCGAGAGCAGTAGGAAGTGGTGATACTGAATTCTGAAGGCCACAATGAAGGGGGATATCTTTGCTGTATGAAAAATACATGTTAAAAAAAAAGAAAAGAAAAATACATGTTATTGCTTAGATGCCTGTGTATGGGTATTCTTTAACAGCTCTATCTGTGATTATTTTTCTTTGAGAAGTTGTGGAGAAAGGTATATGCTTTGCATGTGTCTGTATATAAGGACCATATGAAGAAAGCAGGAGCTAGCTTGTGCTTGCTAACACCTGTTAATGCAAATATATATGAAGTTTTAGTTTTTGCTACACTTGCAACCATAACCAAGGCCTATCTCATATAATGTCATCACCTTGCTATGAGAGCCATCTAAAATTCTGGCCTACTTACAAAGAGGTAACTTTGTGGCAAGCAGTCATTAGATCTTTGAAATAGTTTATTACCTTTTCAATTATTTTAATAATATTAACTCTTAAAATCCAAGAGATATAGAAATGACCAGGATTGAAAGTTCCCAACAGTCAGGGTGGGGCCAGGAAGGGGGACCATCCACGTCTGCTGCACCAATTCATAGTTAGGGCCACATAGGGTTTTGTTCATTTGCTTTGCATTTTGACAGAGCCATTTTGAGTGTTACCTTATTGAAGTGGCCTCAGTAGAGTGTATCAGTCTAACAGTTCATCCTGACTCAGTTTTCTGTTCTTTTCCCCTGGGGTTCCTGCCACAGCCCTTGCAGCAGATGAATGTTCCCCCTTTGTAGACACCTATGGCATTTGGATTTCAAGCCTAGTAGATGCTGGTGGGGCTTCTGCCCTATCATCAGTGGCCCTCTCCAATGGGATTGGTGTGGCTCTGTTCCATTCCAGACTTTTCTCCATTCACAAGGACTCTGTATCCATTCTGAGAATGGGTCTCCTGCCTGTCCAAACACCCACGTGCTGGGTCAGCAGCCAGAAGCTGGGCTAAGATGGCATTTGAGAGCAGGGAGGAAAGTCCCATTTCAAGAAGATCCAAATGGTTTTTGCTCTTGGTAGACATGAACACAAAGGTGAGCTGAAGTCGCCCAAATTGAGATTACCTGGCGTAGGTCGTGAGGGAGTGTGGGGCATCTCTTGAAGTTCTGCTTTATCCTTTTTTTGGAGGGTCAGGTTGTCACTGAACACTGAACAAAGGAAGAAAAAGAGTTACAGATCCCAGGACCAGCAAGCAGGAACCACAGTGAGGCAAAACAGGAACAATCTATTCCAACTAGTAAAAATAAGGGGGTGACCAAGCACCAATGCCTGGCAAGGGTGGGATAGAGTGGGAAAGTGGACAATCATTTACTTTCCACTAGCCACTTGTTAAAAATAACAATATTTACTGTTTTCTTTTGAAAATCTGTGGAATCTTCCATTGTTGTTAGTTTCCTGATTATGTTAACCTTTTTTGGAGGGTAGGTATTAGAGGAATGGGGGAAACATTATTTAGATTAAACAGGACCTCTATTATCAGTACAGGAGAGTTCAGAATCCACAATATCATTTTAAACAATGCCCAATAATATACCACTCATATTTCATGTAACCAAACTCTATTATAATGATGATTTGAGGAGGATAAGTGACACAATTTTAGAAATTGAGTATTGGGTCCAGCATACCTTTAAATATTTCATCATCTTTTCTAACAATTTTTATAACACTGCTCTTAGACTCCAAACCATATAAAGATGGAGAAGGTTGAAACTCAAAGGTCCTCATCATCAGGTGGAGGCAAGAAATCAGGTAAGGGTCACCAACACGGGTGTCACACAAGTTACTTATCAATTCAGAGCAGCGTTTTGACTGTTGGTTTATTTTGCATTGCTGAGTCTGTGGATCAGCCCCCTATGTTTCTTTCTCTTTGTCATGCCCAGTTATTTTTCCCAGGATGTTCCTGCCACAGCCTCTTGGTCAGCAAGTATGTGTTCTCCCTTCACAGTCACCTTGGGCTAAGCTACGTCAGCCCCAATCAGTGTTGCCTTGCATAGTGCCAGGGGGAGAGCTGGGAATTTCTTGTGATTCTTCTTTCTCATTTATTCTGGATGTTAAGTTGTCACTGGTCACTGAATGGATGAACAAAGACCATTACAGCTTACAGGGACTGGGTGTTAGGGAGGAGAGTGAATGGGTAAAAATGTCCAGAGCAGACGGAGCACCAAAGCCCAAGGGCAGAGGGTTGGGATGTTCCAGGAGTGTTCTGGGCTCTAGGCCTCACCCAGGCCCCTGGCAGTGCTTGTGAGCCTTATAGAAAAGGACTGTGTACAGGAGTTCAAGACCAATCTACGCAACATAGTGAGGCCTCATCTTTACAAAAAATAAAAAAGTAGCTGGACATGATGGCATGCACCTATAGTCCTGACTCCTCAGAAGGCCATGATGGAAGTATTGCCTGAACCCAGGAGGTCAAGGCTGCGGTGAGCCTTAATTGTGCCACTGCACTCCAGCCTGGAAAACAGTAAGACCCCAATTGGAGAAAAAAAGAAAAGAAAGAAAAAAGAAGAGGGCTGTTTATGGGTAGGTGGGCCCAGGGGAAGAACCAAATCAACATAAGCCAAAACCCTGGGGTGGTAGGCAACATAGAACAAGCACTGTCAGCTGGGATATGCAGGTGTTGGGGTCTGTTTCTTACCTGGAGTCCTCCTTTCTTCTTGGACAGGTCCAGGGGGAGGCAAGGCAGGGTCAGAAGGGCTGAGTGGTTCTTCCAGGATCTCATTACTTTGCTGCAAGGATGCTCCAGGCTCCCTGATTCTGGGCACACAGCGTGGATAGCTTGGAGGAAGGGGTTGTGGTGGGAGCTGTGGCAGCAGAGTCTGGAGGGAGCTCCCTTCTGCTGGGCCAGCTGGAGCTTCAAATAGGATTGGTGTGGCTCTGTTCCACTCTCCATAGGAAGCACCAACTAGAATTGGTGAAGGAGAACACATCAGCACCCTGAAGACTTATCATCATTTGGCGAAGGGAATTTCTTAATATATGTCCCCCAACAGGATGAGGACTTGGAGTTATTTCTTCTCCCTCAGGTGCATGGAACCAGTTCACTGTCATCATCCATTTGTAACCCGTTTCTGTTTTATTTATTTGATTCAGGCATTCATTGCTACAATAACTGCATCTAACCCCACTCTTATACCAAAGTGACTTCATACTTAAAGTTGAGTTTGAGTCTGTACCCAGGGATTTAATTATCTTTAATTGTGACTTCATAGAATTTAGTCAATTATGTACATGAAAGAATTTTAATAGAGTCTCTGTTTTAAAAAATACACATATTCCTCCCCAGAACAAACAAGATAAAAAAATTGACTTCAACAGGGTGTGTTAGGACCTTTATAATCTGGTTTCTGCTTATTTCTGCAGATCCAGCTTCCAAGCCCTGTGTTGTACCGTATGATCTGGCCACGCCAAACTTGCTCTCCCACCCACAATACTCCAGACCCTTGGCTTTCCACATGTTGTTCTCTCACATGGCTGGGCACTAGGTTTCTCCTATAATTCTTTTCCATAATTTATTTCAAAGGTAAAGTCATCTCAACCAGTGAGCAGAAAAAGGAAAGCAACTTTGGATTTTTAAAGGAATCCAGAACAAAAGTGCAGAACTGCAGATCCAGGAAGATGCTTGAGCTCAGTCAAGTCAGGGACGCATCAGCGCATGGGTCCCTGTGGCTCTCAGATGTACTTAGCATAGCCTTTAAGGACATGCTTCTTTTGGTTCTGCACAGACGGGGCCAGGACAATGGGCCCACCTAGCAGCTCCTGCCTGGAGGCAGACTTTCTCCTTTTCTGCCCCTTTTGCTCAAGGAGTCAACTCTCCCTTTGGGAAATGGCCTCTTGATGATGAAGTGTCAGGCAGCAGATGAGGAACTGTCAACAGTGGTAACTGCACTATTGAGAACATCCTAGTTCAGTGTGACCTGGTGATTCTTCCCTTGTCATTCTCAGGTAGGTGAACATACGCTTTGGTCAAAGTGTTTTTCCTACAATAAAATGATTTTACTGTCTGCCCCTCTTTACCTGACTTCTTTCTTCTCAGCTCTTTTTTCTATCCTTCATTTACCTGAACTTTTCTCTTTAATACTTCATTCTTTCTCAGATTCTCTTTGTCTGTGTCTATGTCCACCAATCCCTCCTTTCCTTGTCAGCTACTTTTCTTCCTTCCTCCCGCTTTACAAAGTCTGAGTTGCAACTGCTCTTGTCTAGACTAGTGGTTAAAATCTAGGGCCCTTGTACTAGGAGACACAAGTAGGACCCTGAGTGTACCGCATAATAGACAACAGCTTTGGGAAAGTAACCTCTGAGTTTTAATTTCCTTGTTGGTCAAGCGGGGATAGCAATGACTTCATAGGGTTGTTTTAAAGATGACAGGAGATAATCATATAAAGTGGGATAATATATGAACAAGAAGTAAGATACTGAATTTTTTTTTTCTGAGTTGGAGTCTCACTCTGTCGTCCAGACTGGAGTGCAGTGGCCGCTCTCAGCCACCACAGCCTCGACCTGATGGGCTCCAGCAATCCTTCCGCCTCAGCCTTCCAAGTAGCTGGAACTACAGGTGCATGCTACCATGACTGGCTAATTTTTTATTTATTGTAGAGATGAGGTCTCGCCAAGTTGCCCAGGCGGGTCTCGAACCCGCAGGCTCAGGCAATCCACTCACCTCTGCCTCCCAAAGGTGCGGGATTACAGGCTGAGCCACCGAGCCCTGCTAAGATACTGATTATTAACCATCTTATTCATTTCTCTTTCTCCCTGGCTTTCCTTGTTCTTCCACCAGAATTTTTCTCTATAACTTTGCATTTCTGACATCTAATGCATTTCCTAGAGATTGTTCAGTGTGCTAAACTGTATTATTTTTTTCTACATTATAGAGCACTTAAGGAAGAAATGTTTGTGTCCTCTAGAAATTCATCTTGGAGACTTGGGGTCAGCATTACCAAGGGGCTGCTTCTCCAGCTGTACCTGAGAGATTATGGTCCATTTCTTCCCAAAGAGAAAGCGGGGGATTGACATGCATATTCCACAGGGCTAGAAATAGACCCACACTTTTATCATAGCAACTTCTTAAACGCAAAAAAGTATTCAAGAAACCTCATTACCACTTTTGAATCTTCTGAAAATTGTCCTCAGATTGGGGTATTCACGTAGGTTAATTTGGCTGAACAATGCCACCAGAACAGACAGATTAAAAGTCTTCTCCAGTTTGGTGAGAATGTTGTGCACCACTTTGGATATAGGGACCAAATTTCCACAGGCTTCCAGAGATTCCTTAGAAAATGGAATGAAAGATTATTATAAATAATTGTATAATTGAATGGGGAGTTGTTATACATTTGTGGCATTCTAAGTTGTAAGGAAACTAGTTTACTATTTTAACAAGAAATTTAACATAAAGTGTATAGTCAAATCTTCTAAGGTAGAGAGGTAAGTTTCACATGTTTATTTTTGGAATTTTACATGTATGTGGATGGCTAGTCAAAAGAATAACATTTAGCTTTCTTTAAAATAAGTCTGTTTTGTGAGTCTTACTTTTAGATACATTTGAGGAAAGAGAGAACTTTTAAGGAAGGAAGGAAGGTGGAGTCAAAGAATGCGGGATTAATTTTTTTAAGTCTCTGGCAGGATATTTCAGCAGTGGATCCAACAGGTAGTCGCAGGTGGCAATTTTGTTAACTACTTGTTAGTCTCTGCTCTCTGTGTTTCAGACTTGAGATGTCCTAAGTGGGTTCCAGCCATAGAGAGGTCACCCTGGGAATTTCTTTTACTGAGAGGATGAATAAAGGAAGAAACTGGCAGGAGAGAATTGATTGCATTAGACTCAGTCAGCTAGTCTTTGGTTACACAGCAGTGGATAAGATCAACGGGGTGCTGCCCATGTCAGGGGGGGATGCACTGTCAGGTGGAGAAAATGGACATTAGACGATAAACAAAAATTCAATAAATACACAGTTGTGATTGAGAGTAGTGTTATGAAAGTAAGCATAGATTGCTATGAGAGAGAATAACAAGGGGGCTCTCGTTAGATGAGTGGGTCAAGGAAATCCCTCTAGGGAGTTATGTCTAGGCTGTGATCTGAAGATGGAGTTGGAGCCAAACAGGCCAAGATTGGGGGAAGATTGTTCTACCACTTCTGGCACTTCCCTGGTCTGGGGTTCAGGAAATGCATAAAAAAACAAAACTGCCGGGCTCGGTGGCTCAGCCTGTAATCCCGCACCTTGGGAGGCTGAGGTGAGTGGATTGCCTGAGCCCGCGGGTTCGAGACCTGCCTGGGCAGCTTGGCGAGACCTCATCTCTATAATAAATCAAAAAATTAGCCGGGTGTGGTGGCACGCGCCTGTAGTTCCAGCTACTTGGAAGGCTGAGGCGGAAGGATCGCCGGAGCCCAGCAGGTCGAGGCTATGGTGGCCGGGAGCGGCCACTGTACTCCAGTTTGGGAGACAGAGTGAGACTCAAACTCAGAAAAAAAAAATTATATGAGAAGAATTCCCCTTTTGTCCACAGAGTACATCTCCCAGTGCTGGTCCACCTCACATCAGAATGAATGGGAAGCAATAAGCTCTTATACATTGGGATGACACCCATAGTAGGTTGAATGGTGTCCTCCTCCCACCAAGATATATTCATTCAGAATCTATGAATGTGGACTTACTTAGAAAAAGGTCTTTACTGGTGTAATCAAGTTAAGAATCTTTAGATGAGATCATTCTGGATTACAGTGGGCCCTAAATCCAAGTGTCCTTATAAGGAAAAAATAGGGGAGAAGGCACAAGAGAGAAAGCAGTGGAGAGATGGGAACAGATGGGAATGATGTTTCTACTATCCAAGGAACATCAAGGCTTGCCAGCATCCACAAGAAGCTAAGAAAGAGGCAAGGAGCAGATTCTCCTTAGAGTCTCTAGAAGGAACCAACCCTGTCAACACTTAATTTTGGACTTCTGATCTCTAGAACTGCAAGAGGATACATTTCTGTTATTTTAAACTGCCTGGTTTGTAGTCATTTGTTATGGCAGCCCTTATGACACCCTAAAAACTAAAACAAAAACAGCCTCCATAACGCTTCCCCCCCCCCCAACAACCACTACCTTCTATGATAATGAACATTCCTGGGCCAAACCTTCCATTTGTGATTTAAGACCTCAATATTTGAGCATACTTGATGCGGGCTGAGCTGCTATGGAAGAGGTCAAGGTAACTCACCCTATACGTTTTCTCGTTGATGAAAGATTTGTCTCGAAGGCCTTCAAAGAAGGGAAATGGCTTGTGTATGGCATAGGCAATCTCCAGCTTCTGGTTTATGAAGTGCTGAAGAAGAGCCTCTTCCAAGGCCCTGGTTATGGTGAACATCCTACGGAAAAAGACTTGATAAGAAAATAGAAGCAAAGACACTGAGGAGTGTGGGGAGCTGCTCTCTACACTGAGAAGTGTGGGGCACCTACAGGCCGACATTCTGGTCCCATTGACAACTCCTAGCAGCCTGAAAAGCAACATTTTCCTAAAAGTCTCTTGGGTATAGTGAAAAAATGTCAATTCCCAGTAACAGTGGAGGTCGAGAGTGACTGACAATATGATGCTGAAATCCCAAAGGGGCTGCTGGTAAACATAAGATAGATATTAAACATACTAATATTTATTGAGTACTTCCTGTGTAACTGTTCTAAGGATTTAATATACAGTAGCTTATTTGATCTTCAGAAAACCCTTGTGAGATGGTTATTAATTGCACCCATTTATACTGTTGAGGACCTGTGATGTAGGGAGGTTTAATAAGTTGCTCTAGGTTGTGCAGCTTGGAAGTAATAGAGTTGAGAACAAATCCTAATTCCTGATTCCAGGCTTATAGTTATAACTATGAGCTTATTTAAGCAAAATGACAGGGAATCCAGCTTAAGGCCGTACACTAGAAAGACTCATGAAAAAGTGATCACCCCAAAATGAGTAGGACAGAAACCTGATAATACTTAGAAACTTTAATAAACTACCCACAATCTTCAACACAGATTGAGTCAAACATAAATAAAATCAGGAGAGAGGTGAAAGGCACACTTAGTAAGAGGAACTTAGCTGACTTGTTTGATGTATCCATTTCATATCTCAGAACTGCAAGTGCCTTTTTCCACGCCCATGCAACATTTGTGAAAATTAACCATTTGTGGATCACAAGAAAATATCAGGAGTTTATGACAGGCAGAAAATTTACAGATAATGATATATTGTTAAGAAAAGGGAAGAACTAACAAAAAATTTAATCACCTTGAGATTTTTAAAAAACAAAATAAATTTCAATCCCATTTTTCCAATTTCATTTTGTGTCAGACAGAAAATTAAATAATAATTAACAACTATTTCCAGGGATTTAATTCCAGTGGTAGATTGAATACCCTGATCTCTTTCTCCTCATTCCCAAATTTTTTAAACTTGGCAGAAAAAAAACAATATTGTGAAAAAGAATAATTCACAATAATACTGGGAATTTTAAAAAATGATGCCATTGGGAGTCTGTGATAGTGAGAAAATTCTGGAAGATGGAGAATAGATGGGAGAGAAACTACTCGCCACAATATGCATAGGAGAAGGAGATAGCGCAAAGATCATTGCATAGTCAAAGAAGATCAGAATGAATACATGCTGAGAAGAGGAAGGGGCCCTGAGTCTCCATTTAGGAAAATTTATTATACAACAGCATTTGGAACAGGAAGTTGCCAGGTTCCTCACTCTTTATCCGTTATGATTCTCAAAGATGAAAGTGAGGCACAGAGAGATTAAGAAACTAGCCCAAGGTATTCAGCAGCAAAGCAGAACTTATATGACTTTAAAGCTCTGTTTCTCACTGTGGAAGATACTGCATCTCATACATTTAGTCTTCAGATTTTAATTCTGTAAAGGGATCTTACAAATAAATAAGGAAAAGATAAAAGCCAAGAAGAAAAAAGCAACAGACATGAACAGGCAATTAATAAAAGCATAAGCCAAATGCTCAATGAAGATATGAAAAACATGATTAACTGGCTAATAGTCAGAAGTGCAAGTGAATATAATTTGAATAACATATTTGCCTATCAAGTTGGCCAAGATAGAAAATACCTGAAGAAACTCAAATCACTCCATGAAAAAGATACCTGCACCCACATGGCTATTGCAGCATTATTCACCATAGCAAAAACATGGAACCAACCGTGCCTCCCAATTGAAAGAGGACTGGATTAAAAAATGTGGTACATATACACGCTGGAATACTATGCAGCCATAAAGAAGGACAAATTATGAACTCTGCAGCAACTTGGATGAACTTGGAGGTTATAATACTGAGTGATCTATCACAGAAGCAAAGAACCAAGTACCACAGGTTTGAACAATTATCATAATACTGTAAGAAAGGGATTGGCAGTAGTGGGAAACTGCCAGGGGAGGGGCAGGGACGGGATTGGCAGTAGTGGTAACTTGCCTGGGGAGGCACACCTCATCAACAAGGGTACTTGCATATTGAACATTTCTATAACTAACCCTGAATTGTTCCCCACATATTTAAAATAAAAAATTTAAAAAAAGAAAAAAGAATAGCAATAATCCCACACACTGAGAGTGGAAATGTAAACAGGTCCAAATGTTCTGGAGGCTAATATAGTAATTAGTTTTAAATGCCCTAAAATAGGTATTCCTTTGAATCCCCATTTTTAGTAATATATTTTAAGGAAACAATCATCAATCTGCTTAGAACAAATATATAAAAATGTCATGACACACTGGAAAGGAAATTAAACATATTCTCCATATTTCTTCTTTTCCACTAGCTTCCCAGCTACCTCTAGTCACTTGCACAATGGATAATGAACGAGTTGCCTGTCAAGGGCAGAGTGCAGGATCAGAGTTTAGGAGAGGGTAGAGGGCAAATCTGGGTTCCATCCATAACAACAGGCTAGAATCTACCCCCCAAAAGTTGAATATGTGTCAGTTTCCCCTCAGTGTCCCTCTTTTTAAACAATCTCTGTAATAAGTCTTACATATCCACTCTACATCTTTGGAAAACACTATTTTACAAAGAGAGAGCCTCAGAGTTTAAATAGTTGAGTTCTACTCGGCGGCTGCTGCCAGGATATTCATTACAAAAACCCCAATCGCCAAGAGTGAAGAATAAAGGAGCAGAGACAGAAGCTCACCTGGACAACGTTCCTGTCCCTTTCCTCGTTCCGGGGGCTGAGCCAGGGATCAATCCTGGAAGACGGGGAGAATTACAAGGAGTTTCCAGCGGGAGAACCCGGAAGTCTGTGCTCTGACACGCAGTAAGGGGCCAGGCTTCAGAGGAAAGAAAAGTGAAAGCATTTGGAGCGGCCCAAGCAGGAAGCGGACGACAGGGCAGTGCCTGCAGCCTCCCTCCGCTTCCAGGCCAGCGCCTGAGGCTCCCAGAGCACCGCGGGCAGTTGGGGAGTGGGAGGAGGGAAGAGGGTGCTGCTAATGGGGGTCTACCTGGAGAGTGGGGTATGGGGGAAGGAGGCATAGGGATCCAGCTCTGGGGGCTATAGAAACTAGGAATTCATCGTCTGGCCATCTCCCTACCCACCTGTTTCGCCATGACTTGCCTTTATTCCATACGTTTCAGGGTGATGAAAATGTTCTCAAACCGGATTGTGGTGAAGGTTACATAAGTGAGTAAATCCACCAGAAGTCTCCAAACTTTAAAAGCAAACAAAAAGTCAAAGGGGATGTGTCAGAAATGCTTAGGACTTGTCAGGATACGATTATTACACGAGAAAAGTGAAATAAAATGGAAGCTGCGCTGAGCTGAAATCATACAGAGCTGGACAAACCTCCAGGCAGAAAAATGTCCGAGAGCCGGGCAGGCAGGTGGGAACCAGGAATGTGTGGAAGCTGGGTCTGGGGCAGAGCTGGAACCAAAGCAGCAGCTGAAGGGCCGGAAGAGACACTTCCTTCTGCATGCCCCCTTTAAAGGTCCCTAATGTATGCTGGCAAATGGAGTCTATGAGAAATCCTAAATTATAGAAATCTATTTAACTTCAATGAAATCAATTGTTCTCATGTGTATTTGATCCACAAGTTTCCCCCTACCGAGATGCCCACAAAGCCCTCAGAAAAAAGATAGGAAACATGGAGAAGCCTTGAGACCAAAGCTAGCCTGCATGGGCGTGAACTCTTCTGTGTTTCCTATGGAGACACAAACACAGCATATCCCACCCAAGTATGTACAAAGCAACAGATCCGGCCCTGTGGGTCACGACTGTGGGGGGGAACAGAGGCATGGAAGCCTCAGCAAGGAAAAGATGTGATGGTAACAACTGAGTAGAGGGTGCATTGATGCCTCAGCACTCTGTAACATACAGCACTCTGATGCCAGGGAGAGTGGTGTCAAGAGTGATTAAGATTATTTCATAAAATAATCTTATAAATATAAAAAATCAGATAATAGGGATTGAACACTAGACAACAGATCTTCAAGGAAATATACTCAATCTGAGACTGGTTATTTAAATAATCAAACAAAAGGTCGTGAACATCCCATTAGTTCTCAAAGACAAGAATGTGGTAGACTTTGGCAAGCAAGAGCAAGTTGGCAAATTAAACTACAGCACTGGATTGTGATCAAGACTCTGCACAATTCACTCTCCAATTCCTAGTGTCAGAAACTAGCATATTTAGCAAAAGTGGGATAAATCTTTCAGGTAGAATGAAAGCATTGAATTACCTTTGAGAATTATCACCTACTTGGCCTAAATTTGTGTGGAAGAACAGAGCCAGGAGGTAGGCTGGAGCCTTACGGCCCCACTGGTCACATGGCAGTAAAGGAAGACATTAAGAACCAGGGATGATCTGATGGCCCTATATAGTCTTGGCCCAGGCATCCCTTATGTAGGAGAAGTTTGTAGTGAATAGAGGGAAAACAAGATAATAAGAAATAGAGCTGAAAGTCCAGGCTGTTGTTATCTGGGCTAATGTGTGGTGCTGCAAAGTAGGGCTTTCTAGTAAACCTGGACAGGAGTTCCCCTGAAGTCCCAACCTTACCACCACTCAGCTGAGGAACACCAAAGACTTTGTGTTCATAAGCAAAAGAAGCTAGTACATTTTCAGAAATGTCAGCTCAGTTGTGGCCTGGGTTCTTTTGCCACCTAGGGGCAGAGAAGAGAGAGAGGATGCCAGAGCTGGTCGATGTGATCTGTGTCAGGCCTTATTGGCACCACTGTGCCCCATGGAGGAGGGGAGCAGACAATAGCTGTGCCGGACAGAAGCTCAGGTTACCAGCTCCTCTGACCCATAAGGTGAGGGGGAGAGAGAGACAGACAGACAGACTGAGATAGATAGATAGATAGATAGATAGATAGATAGATAGATAGATAGATAGACAGACAGACAGACAAACCCAGGCATATGCGGTACCTGGTAGGCACACTGACCCTGCTACTGGAAATGGTGTCCTCATCGGTATTTGAGTGTTTCAGCCAGATTGGTATTTGTTTCTTTGGGAAAAAGAAAGCAGAAGTAGGCTGAGGGGTAGAAATCTCTTGCCCTTGATATTTTGCCAATGTATGTATGCATATTTCCTAGGATATATATAAAATAAGCCAGAAGAAGTGGGATTTGGTGGCACATATTTTGGAAAAATGCTGCTTTATCTCTGGCTTCCCAATCCTCACCAGTGCTCTGTCACTGGCCCTGGATTCTACCAATACCCTGGCTCCCAACTGCCCTCTGTCTTTGACCCATTGTTCTGCCAGGATGAGTCCTCTTTTGGTTTTATGTATTTATTTTAGTTGTCCTTTGCTCCCATTTCTGTATCTTTCAGCTTTATACTGATATAGTGTGTTTTTGTGAATTGTTTCAAAATCTTTACAAAATGAGGACCCCATATAAGTGAAAGAATTTCATGTAAACATAAATATAATGCACCTATTCTCTCATGTCACATTGTTCTTTCTTTTTTCCCCCTCAGCTTCAGAGTAACTAGGACTACAGGCATGTATCACCAGGCTCGACTCATTTTTTTTTTTTTTTTTGAGAAACAGGGTCTTGCTATGTTGCCAGGGCTAGTCTTGAACTCCTGGCCTCAAACAATCCTCCTGCCGTGGCCTCTCAAAGTGCTGGAATTACAGGCATGAGCCATCATGCACTTTGTCCTTTAAGGTCTAGATACTCTTAACTCCAAACCCTTTCCCCATCAAATGAAAAGCCTCACACTCCTCAGATTTCAGTGAGTTAGTTGAAGCTCAGTCTTTTCCCAGTCACCCCTGCAGCTGTAAAGTGCCCGTGTATTCAAGAAAGCTTAGAATTGCACCTCAGACTTTTCTGCCTTGGCATTTACATTTGATTGGAGGAGTTGGAAGAGTTGGGGGTTTTTTTTGGTTTTTTTTTTTTTTTTTTAACCTTTGCCTGCTTTTCATGAGTGCTGAGAACATCTCCTCCACTTTATAATGCAGGCATTTTGGCTCTCTCCTGCCCCACATCCAAACACTAGGCCTACTCCTTCCAGTCCAGGCTTTTAATGTGCCCAGCCAGCTCTTGAACCCAGTAAAAGATTTGAAACACTCACTTCTCACGTGTTCTTCTCACTGTGATCTCAGCAAAGGAAAGGGACCAACTTTTACTTCCTCCATATAAACGATGCTATGATGCTACTTTGCCATGAAACAATTTTGATCCATTTTGGTTGAATGGACTTTTCCATCCTCTTCCTTGACATGAACAAGTGGCCCCATCTTCTGTAGACTTGTGGGGCTGGCCTGACTCCTCCTTCCTGGGCTAAGAGACTCACGGAGATTGCGCAAAAGGAGGGCTGACATGTCAGGTGGTTAGGCAATTTCCCCTGAGGGATCATTCAGTTGGCAGTGCTTCGCTTCAGAGCCTACTGAAGGCTCAAAGGCAGTTAAAATCTAATCGGGTGTGATCCTAGGTCCAGCAGGGACAGATGGCAGCTGGAGGCAACGATCTCAATTTCAGGTAAGCCATCCTCTCCTCTCCTGGTCCTTCATCTCTGGTAAGGTCCACATTTAGTCTACCCAGCCTCATTCCACAGGCAAGCAATAGAATGAGATTACAAAGAAATAATGAAGAAATCAAATTTTTAAAATTCCAAGGGATTAGCTGTTGGAGAAAGTCAACAAATAGGACAGACATCCTATTTCCTTGTACCTGCCACATGGCCGGGTTAGTGTTATTTGAACTTCATGACCTTTCTGAGGCTTTGCTGCAGGATTGGATGACTCCATGACCTCTGAACCCTCTCATCTCCCCCAGGATCCTCACCCCAAAAGACAACTCCGTCCAAAAAAAACTTTTAGAAAAATTAAAATCCAAACCAAATATCTGTTGTCACATTTGTTCCACTCTGTGTAGAAGGGGACCTCTTCTCCTTTGGGCCGATTGTGGCCCTGAGCCCTAGAGTCAGTTCAGGATGTTGGATGACTAGATAGGAGGAAATGAAAGTAGATGGGGCGGGGGCAGGGAGGTGCAGGGGGGAGGGGATGAGTTTTTATTGTATTTTTTTCTATTCTGTGACATGTTACATATCTGGTTAGAGAAGGATGGAAATAATCTTTTAAAAGTATAAGCCAGCCGGGCACGGTGGCTCACGCCTATAATCCCAGCACTTTGGGAGGCCAAGGTGAGAGGATTGCCAGAGCTCACAGGCTCGAGACCAGCCTGGGCAACTTGGTGAGACCTCATCTCTACAATAAATCAAAAAATTAGCCAAGCATGGTGGTGCATGCCTGTAGTTCCAGCTACTTGAAAGGCTGAGGTGGAAGGATCGCCTGAACCCAGTAGGTTGAGGTCGTGGTGGCCATGAGCGAGCCACTGCACTCCAGCCTGGGCAACAGAGTGAGACTCCAACTCAAAAAACAAAAAACAAAACAAAAAGTACAAGACAAGTACATTAGTACAGTTGATTTTTTTACATCTATGGGTTCTGCATCCATGGATTTAACCAACTATAGATGGAAAATATTTTTTTAATTAAAAAATAATACAATACAAAATTTAGCAGTACAGAATAACTATTCGCATAACATTTACATTGTTCCTCCATAGGTATTATATTATAAGTAATCCAGAGATGATTTAAATTCCCTTCATATTGAACTGTGTTTTTATTTTTAAAATGACGTATGGACAACAAAATATAGGTGGATGGGGTTTTTTTAAATGTATATATAATATTTATTTATTTATTTCAATAATCAATATCT